TTGCACAATCTTGGCTGACTGCTATATTCCACCCAGAGCAAGCCCAGGCAGAGAGCACAGCCCCCCCCCTTCCCCTTCCGTACCCTCAAGCTGTCTGGCTGGCCTGCAGCAATTCCTGACCAAGATCCTCTAGATCCAGCAGTTCCCTGCCCATACAGCCATCCCCCATGGTCCAGCTCTTGGTGTCCAGGCTTTTGAGACATTGCTGGGAAGGGAGGGAGTGTTCCAACCCACAGAGGCCTCATCTGATGGAGGAAGGAGGGGACAAGAAGAGGAAGTACCTCAAGCAGATGCCCAATGCAAGTGAAAGGGTGATGCCCATTGCCTTGAACACTTCAATGCCCATAGTAAACAGCTCTTAAACATTTGCCACTCTGTCCCATGAGTCTTCTCACTGATTTCTCTCAAGGATCCTATGAGGCAGGCTCCATGATCCCTATCTTTAAGCTGTCAAAACAGGCTGGGAATATGGCTTGAGTCCTGGATTTGACCCCAAAACATATAAACTGGGCTTGTAATCTTAACACTCAGGAAGTGAAGGCAAGAGAAATTCCACAGTCAAGCCAGGCAGTGGCGATGCATGCCTTTAGTCTCAGCACTTAGGAGTCAGAGGCAGGCAGGTACTCTCTGAGTACAAGGCCAGCCTGATCTACAGAGCTAATTCCAGAACAGCCACAGCTGTTACACAGAGAAACCCTGTCTCAAAACAAAACAAAACAAAACAAAACAAAAAAATAACACTTGCTATTCCTGCAGAGAACCCAGATTCAATTGCAAGCACCCATATCAGATAACTCACAACTACATGCGACCCCATGCACTGTGGCAACACAGAGATAAATAAAATCTTTTTAAAAAAAATGACAAAACTGAGGCTCAGAGACCTTAGATGACTTGCCTAGGTCTCACAGGAAATGACAAAAGCAAGCAGTGACTCTTCGGCCCATGCTCTCAGCCTCTCTACTCACTGATGCTTCTTGCCCCCAAAAAAAAGTGCTTCCGCAATCCAACTTTCGTTTCCTCACATCTGATTTCCATTTCAGCCTCAACAGTTCTGCTTCCTAGTGTAAGTTCTCAGAGGAGATTGGACCAGGTTTCTGAAGTATCGAAAGGGAAAGCAGTGTGACTGAATGCCTATTGTGTGCTGGCTACCATGCCGAGCACTGGTTGCATGGTTTTTTGTTTTGCTTTGTTTTATTTCATTTGGTTGGCTTGTGTTATTTGGGGTGTGGGTGTGAGAACTGGTGTTGCTGTTTTTGTGTTTGTTTACTTTTGAGATGAGGTCTGGATATGTAGCCCAGGCTAGCCTAGAACTTGAGGTCCAGTATGTCACGTGGCTCAGGCTAACCTGGGACTTGAGGTCCTGTAAGTCGTCGTGTAGCCCAGGCTAGTCTGGAACTTGAGGGCCAGCACTGGGATTGCAGGTGCATATCACCATGCCAGACTCCAACACTGCACTTCTGAGTTCCTTTAATCTTCCCTTGAGGAGAGCAACTTATTCCTGTGGCAGGTGGGACAGCAGAGGCTGGAGGGTTAACCATGTTCCCAGGATTCTGCAGCCCAACAGGAAAGAGGGTTGTCTGTACCTTCTCGCTGTGCTGAGCAGTGAGTGGAAGCCAGGGTGTAGTTTCTGCCCCCATGGACTTTGAAGACACCAACAGTCGGACACTGTGTTACAAGATGGTCAAGGGGGAAGGATACCCGATGCCGCTCTACCCGATGCCGCTCTAGACCGAGACCAGGAAGGAGATTCACTTGGCAGAGAGATGACAGGGGCTCACCTGTCTGACAAGAACGGAAGCACAGAAGTGTCACAGAGCCTGGGCAGGCTGGAAAACACAAACCATTCCGGCTGTCCGGAGTAAGAGACAAGTGGAAGTGGATGTCCACACGACCGGAGGGGAGGTGGGCTGCCGACTAGAACCACTAATGCACCCCCTCGGCAAACTTCTATCTCCCAAAAATATTTACATTACGACTCATAACAGTAACAAAATTACAGTTATGAAGTAGCAACGAGAATAATTTTGTGGCTGGGGGGGTCCCCACAACATGAGGAACTGTATTAAAGAGTCACAGTGTTGAGAAGGTTGAGACCCACTGGTGTAGGGATTTAGGGGGCCAGGCTTCTGCAGTTAGGCAGAGGGCAAGATGAGCTGCAGAGTCAGAGCAGGAGAGAGACAAGAGTGTAGTGCTCTGTGAAAGCCAAAGCCGGAACCACCTCCCATCCTTCGCTGAGGACTGGATCAAGAATCCTGTCTTCCAGGTGCTAGGCACAGATTCTCCTTAGTCAGAAAGACTGGTGGGTGTGGGCAGCCCTGGAAGGAGGGTCGTAGAAGGCATGAGGTCCTTGGGCTCACAGATAAGCTCTAAGGGAAACCAAGAATGTTAAACAGCAAGGCTGTATAACCTGTTTTCTGCCCAGAATGCCGGGAATGGAGGTGGTTTATAGCCTGATGCTGTGCTATCTGTATTACTGAGACCACGCCAGATTCTACCCCAGACCCTTGAGATTAACACGTGTAGTCAATCTATAGAACCCATCTTTATGGACAAAGTCACATGATCTTTACAAAAAATTTCCAAGTAGTTATGCCTTAAGTTTTTTTGTGAACAGGGGATTGAGTTATCACCAGAAAACTTTTTTTGTTTTGTTTTGTTTTTGTTTTTCAAGACAGGATTTCTCTGTGTAGCTTTGGAGACTGTCCTGGAACTAACTCTGTAGACCAGGCTGGCCTTGAACTCACAGAGATCCACCTACCTCTGCCTCTGCCTCCCTGAGTGCTAGGATTAAAGGCATGCTCCAACAATGCACAGCCAGAAAACTTTTTATTCTTAGATATGGCTAAAATAATTTTAGACTCTCAAAGTTTGAACCATGCACAGGACACCGGCTACACTGTGAAGGAAGAGTCATGACATTAACATGTTGCTGGTACCTAAAATGTGAGTAACTTGAATCCTCAGAAAATTATCAGTAGATAATTGCAAGAGAATCATGCAGATGAACAAAAAAAAAAAAAAAAAAAAAAAAAAAAAAACACCAGCTGTGGAAAACATCCCTGAACCACCCTCCATTTAACACAGCCTAGAGTCTGGTAAGAAAAGGGAACCTCAGTAAGAGAGTTGCACAGATCGATATCAGTGTCGTCCTTGGGCAGGACATCCAGGATTATTTGAGAAAGCTAGCTGAACATGATCCAGTGAGTAAGCCAGTAGCCTTCCTCCACGGTTCCTGCCCCTGCTTAAGCTCTTCCTAGCTTCTCTCAAAGCTAGACTGTGATGTGGAAGTGTAAGCTGAAATAAACCCTTTCCTCCCCTAAACTGCTTTTGGTCATGGATTTTATCATAGCAACAGAAAGCTAACTAGAACAGATATTTATTTGGTGTCATAATACGTTGAAATGTCATAGACATTTACAGTTGAGAGACTTTTTTTTTCTCTTGAGACAGGGTTCCTCTGTGTAGCACTGACTATCCTAGAACTAGCTCTGTAAGACCAGGCTGGCCTTGAACTCACAGAGATCCCCCTTTCCAAGTGCTGGGATTAAAGGTATGCTCCACCAAGCCCGGCTAAGGAAGGTTATGGCTTTTAAAGTGACCTGTTCCTGTATCATTGACACAGAATTGATCATGAAGCTTGATTTTAAATGTCAACTTGCCATGACTTAGAATCGCCTGAGCGATTCTAAGGAGCCCTCAACTGAGGACTTATCTTGCCGGCCTTCCTTAATTGATGTTGGAAGACCCACCCAAAATATGGGCGGTGCCTTCAGGTGGGAGGGTAGATCAAAAGCAGGACATGGAAGAAGGAAGATTGGTCAGCCTTTGCTCCCCTGCCTGACCTTCCCTCTTGCTGCCAGTCACTCTACCCTATTGCTGCCACCCCGACAGACAATCCCTTCACTCAAGTCAAAATTACTGTTTCCGACCTTCCAACATTGACCAAGGACCAGACACCCTCTGGGTCTTCAGAACCATCTTGGGACTGCTGAGGCACCCAGCATGTCCTGAGGATTTCCCAGGTGGGTGTTCAGATGTAAGATGGCCGTTGCTACTACTTAGACTATTGCATAGGCTAGTTTAATAAATTCATGTACGTGTGTTCACTCTATTGGTTCTGTTCGTCTAGAGCAGCGGTTCTCAACAGGGGCCGCCTAAGACCATCAGAAAACACAGCTACTTATGATTCATAACAGTAACAAATTACAGGTATGGAGAAGCAATGAAAATAATTTTATGGTTGGGGGTCACCACAACATGAGAAACTGTATTAAACGGTCAAGGCATTAGGGAGGTTGAGAACCGTTGCTCTAGAGAACTCTGCCTAATATACTAATTATACTATTTTGGTGATTTTTCAAGCTAAGAGTGTTTTTCTACTCTCTTTTAGGGAGAGTTTAGGGAGAGGGTGTTTTTTTTGTTTTGTTTTGTTTTGTTTTTTGTCTTTGGTTTGTTTTTGTTGTTGTTGCTTTTCCAGACAGGGCTTCTCTGTGTAATAATAGTCTTAGTTGTCCTGGAACTAGCTCTGTAGACCAGGCTGGCCTTGAACTCACACAGATCCACCTGCCTCTGCCTTCTGAGTGCAATTAAAGATGTCCACCACCATATGTGGGTTTCCCCTCTCTTTGTTGATAATTGAAATTATGGGGTGGGTTCTGAGGCATATTGGAAGAGATCAGAACCTGACAAGATAAAGCCGGGAGCCACCAGGATGGTACAAACAGATAAGGGCATGACCTTTTACTGTCAGGGTGGTTTTCTGATGAGAGTCCTAGGAAAAGACACACTTTCAACTGACAAGGGAAAAAAACAACCTTGAGTAAACTTTACCTGTTTAGAAATCAAGCTCCAACCAGACTCAGTGAGGGTGGGGTTCCCCCCTTCCTTACTTTTCCTTGTCTTTTTTTCCTGCTTCAGTTTTGAATGAACACTTAAAGACCCCGGCCCTCCCTTGGCTCTGTTGTCTAGGGCGCCCTGCACAAACTCAAAGCAGGGAGCTCAGGAAATCCGGAGAGAAGGGAGAGGGGCCCTCGAGCCAGGTTACCACAATGCCCAAACCTCTAAGACCCCTGAGGCAGGAAGGTCGCTGGCTCACCAGTTTCCCTCAACCTCCTTCCTGAGAGGAAGGGGCTGCCTATGTCCCCCAAGGGTGAGGGCTCAGGGTAGAGCAGGAGAGAAGCCAGGAAGGTGTCGCAATCCTGGGTCCCTGGCCTGTCATTAACGACGGAGCTAGAAAGAGAAGTTTCAGGAACTTGCCCCAAGAAGAGAGGAGCAAGAGAACAGAGAACAAACACAGGGAGGCTGGGCACAACGCCCTAGCCTCAGTGTAAGTAGGGGAGGGCAGATCCCTGGAGACCCCAGACCATTTCCCGGCATTGCCAGGGTCACTTCAGGGGGCCTGTGACAGGTGATCCTTGGGAACTGAGAGTTCTCGGTGTGTGTGGCATTGGGAAGTCAGACAGCTGAATCTGTTTGGAAACAGGAGCTGAGCTCAGGGATGAACACATCCCTCTCGGAGTCTCTCCCTCAGGTGTGTTCTAGTGTCCGGATCTGCCACGGTTTCCTTCCTGGTTGCTGTCTGTTTTCAGCCCTTTGGCACGCTTCTTGGCAGGTATGGCTGTCTCGGATTCCCTGAGCCTCTTTCTCTCCTCTCCCAGTTCCCTTTGCCTCTTAACTTTAAACAGTTGCTTCAAGACTTGGCCTGCTGGGCCTCCCTGCTTCTCTACATCCACTGGGCTAGCTTTCATAGTCCACCTCTCCACCTCTCCTTGTATCTGTTCAGCCTTGTCTTGGCCTTGTCTTGTTGTTGTTGTTGTTAAAGTGTGTGGCTCTCATGCAGATGAGGCTGATCACCATGTAAGCAGATAAGAACCTGGAACTTGTAATCCTTCTGCATTCCAAGTGCTAGGACTACAGGCCTGCACCACCATGCCCAATTCTCAGTGTGGTACTGGGGATCAAGCTTATGCGTTTGTGTATGCTAGACAAGCATTCTACCAACTTAGCTACAGCCTCAGCCCCAGCTGCTTTATATTTTTGAGACAGGTTCTCACCAAGATGCTCAAACTAGATTTGAATTTCTTCTATCGCCCAGGCTGACCTTGAACTTGAAATATACTTGTCTCCACTTCCAAGGTAGCTGGAACCTCAGGCCCATGTCACTGGACCAGGCTCTGCCTCAGTCTATTTCAGTGTATCTCTTTCCCCCAACCCATCTACCCATCTATTTATCCATCAATCCATCCATCCACCCCTATCTTTATCCCTTAGTTTAGTTCCTACATCCCCTTCTTCCCTCTCTTCCCACAGACAGAATCTCAAAAGAGCAGGACAGGAGATGGGAGTCAAGTGGTAAGGTTGGCAATGATGAGTAAGGGAGGGGACAGCAAAAAGAGAGGATGCTGTAGCAGCAATGGCTTATGGCATCAGCTGTGTCATTGGGCACAGTGAGAGCAGCTGCAGAGCCCAACAGAGACAGCAAGAGTGACAGGAGCTACCTGAGAGCCTCGGAGCTAGAAGTAGACCCAGAAACAGGCCTTGCATGGTAGCACAGACAAAGGCATAGTGGCTGTGGGGACAGGCACAAAGTCTTGCTGGCTTCATTGGCTGATTTCCTGCTTTAGGGCTCACCCAGATAGCCACTGCTTCTGAGGGTTTGTTCCTTGAGCACAGTGCCAAAGGTTTTACTCTTAACTCTCTCACTTCGTGGTTACAGCACTGCTGAGACATGAGTGCTACTGTTAATCATCTTTTTGCAAATGGAGAAACTGAGGCTCAGAAAAGTGAAGTAACTTATCTGAGTTCACCAGGCAGGTAAGTGTTGGAGCCATGGTCAGAACTGGGTTCTCGGCCCCTTCGTACATAGTAGGCATAGGTTCCAAGAGGCCCATGCTCCTGGGACCACTCCCAGGGCTTCTGTAGAGGATGTACTGATGCCAAACATGCCCACCTCGGGCAACCTAGGAGGATGCCTGGTCTTTTCTGCATTCAGTTGACTGCTCTTGACATAAGCCTGTGGAAGGATAAGGTGGTACCAGGTATGGGCTAGGCCTAGGTACAACCACAAATGAGTGGAGAGGGGAACCAGCATCCCAAGGCCTGGGGGCTTAAGTCTTTCCCTCCTCAGTGTGTACATGTGTTTGCATATGGTGATGAGAGATAATCCAACTGGTGTGCTGATATGAGGTCATTTGCTTAGTTAAGGTCTATTATTGCTGGGAGAAAACATCCTGGTCAAAAGCAACTTGGGGAGGAAAGGGTTTGTTTCAGCTTACCCTTCTAGGCAACAACAGTTCTTCACTGAGAGAAGAAGGCAGGGCAGGGACATGAGGCGGCACGGAAGCAGCAGCCATGGTGGAATATTCTTACTGGCTGGCTCCCCACAGTTTGCTCAGCCTGCCTTCTGATAGCACCAGGACTACCAGTCCAGGGGTGGCAACAGCCAAGGAAAGCAGAGTCCTCCCACATCGAGCATCAATCAAGGCTTGACCACAGGCTAATCTTGTGGGGGGCAATTTCTTAACTGAAGGTCGCTCTTTCCATATGACTCTTACTTGTATTAAGCTGACACAAAACTAGCCAGCAAAGGGCTTAGTAGATGGAGATGTCCTGGGCAAGAGGGAAGAAAAACTTGTGTTCCTAATGGCTCTGAGCCCTGTTCTTTCACCTTGTCACACACACACACACACACACACACACACACAGAGAGAGAGAGAGAGAGAGAGAGAGAGAGAGAGAGAGAGAGAGAGAGGAGAGGAACTCTGTGTGTGTGTCATTTCCTTAATGCTGAGCTGGGAGAAAGCTCTGGCTTGTTCTTAACCATCTCTCACTGTCTCCAGGTAAACAGCAAGTTGGCACAATGGTGGGACTGGGAGCCTGTCTCCTAACCGGAGCTGCCCTGATCCTCTTGCTACTCCCTAAAAGTAAGTGGGGGGCTAGGGAGGAGTATTAAAAGGGAGGTACAGGTCCCCAGGCTACTGTGTGCCAGACTCTGGGAGTGTGATCTCTATATCACAGAGCTTAGAGGCAGCAGATCAGTCACGATTCTAATTACAAAGGGATGGAAGAACACTCCAGGATACAGGCTGGTCACCAAGATGTGCACATGCTAATCTGGTGAGAGAGGGTCACAAGAGCACCATGATGGGGAACAGCGGGGAGCAAAGATCCACGGATGGGAGGGATCATGTTGTTTCTTCAGGAATAGACCCAGTGTCTGTGAGCAGAAGCCATAGTCTGAACTGAAACCGTGAGAGTGAGGCCAGTGGCTGTGTGAAGGGTGTGGAACCCTGTCCTGTCCTTGACTGAGGGTAATGACCTGCCAGCTATGGTTCTGCACAATTGTTTCAGGACATCTGATGCTCTCAACTGGGCAGTGGTGGTACAAGCCTTTAATCCCAGAACCCAGGAGGCAGAGGCAGGTGGATCTCTGTGAGTTCAAGGCCAGTCTGGTCTACAGAGTGAGTTCCTGGACAGCCGGGGTACACAGTGAAACCCTGTCTCAAAAAAGGAAAAAAAAAATCTGATTTATTCTAGAGGCACAAAGGAAGGGAAACAAGCCCCAGGCTGACTCCCCATAGACAGGCCTTGAGACTTACTGCCAGTAATTAGGTCCTTAATAATGCCAGCCACCCAGCCTCAGGAGGCTGGAGTGGAGATCCAACAGCAACCCACAGAACAGAGGAAATTCCTTTAAATGGAGGGGTCTCTGACTTTAGCCATTAGTGGTAATGTTGACTAGGATATAAGGCTATAAAGTAGGAAGCTAACCCTAGTCCTATCCTACCTGAGGGCTGTTCCATGCCAGGATCTTAGCAGCTTTGGAAAGGTACTAGATGGGGTATAAGGCATGACTAATGCACTCTACAGGGACAGCTCTAGGATCTAACTGGTGGGAACCATTTTTTATCTCTATTCACAGATGAAAGTAGTAAGACACAGGGAGTTCCACTGACACATACTAGGGTCACTAATAATAAGTAAGACATGAAAATCTAGTCCATGTGTCTAAGCTCATCAACCCATCACACCAGCCTGCCTTTGCAGGCTGTCACATGCCTTTGATGTGCCACAATCAAGACAGGCGTTTACAATCAGATCTGAATTTGGCAAGGATTGCTGTGGCCTTGAGGGGTTCTTATCACTCTGATTGTGGCTTTCGCTACCCAGTCCCTCCCTAGTGAGGAATTGGAGTTGTCTAAGAGGAATAGACTGCATTCATAACTGCATTCAGGGAAGGCACGGGACACAAATGTTCGCACAGTGGGGAGCACATATATCACGGGGAAGGTGCTTACATCACAGGAAGTGTTTATACCCCAGGGCATGTTCACATCACAGGAAGCATTCACAGCATGGGACACATGCACATGATAGGAAGTATTCATAGCCCAGGGTGTAGTCACACCATAGAAAGGGTTCCTAGGTCCATACTAATGGGAGTGTTCACACCTCAAGGGAATGTTCATGCTGTAAAGAGGGTTCACACCAAGGGAAGTGACCAACACGAACCATGATCTGCTTCTCTCTGCAGAGCCCATCGGTAACCATTTACAGACACATGGTTGTCTCTCTCTTCCTATAGTGCATCTTGCCCCATACTTACTCTACATGTTTAGTTCCCATGTCCTTCCAGATGGGACAGTGAAAGGCAGAGAAGGTCTCTGAGGTTAGGAGCCCACAGACATGGCCCATGTTGGCCTAGCACAGGAGTCCTCCAAGGCCCACCCTCTACCAATCCAGGTCTGGAGAGCTGTGGGCACATCACGATCTCAGTCCCCATCATCCGCCTGGGGGACCCTGTCACAGCCTCCTGTACCATCAGCCCAACCTGCAGTAAACTAGCCCAAGAGCCACAGATCCTATGGAGACTGCAAGATGGACCAAACCAGCCTGGAGACAGTCAGCGGCATCTTGGCGATGGAAGCCAGGAATCCACCATTACTCTGCCTCATGTGAACCACACAAAGGCCTTTCTTTCCTGCCTAGTGCCATGGGCCAACAGCTTCCAGGTCCTGGATCAAGCTGAGCTTCAAGCAGGCTGTAAGTCCCTCCCACCATCCACCCATCTGTTTCCAAGGCTCTTCTGCCAGAACCTGGGAGAACAATGACCTCGCTCAAGTAGCCCTTTGTGAGCATGACAGAGGGCAGAGGGTGTAGCTCTTCCTCTCAGGTGTTATTATTTAGCCCATTCTCCATATGAGGAAACTGATAACTAGTGAGGGCAAGTGACTTACTAAAGACCACACTCCACAGTGTTCCTGTAGAAACCTGCATGGCTGTTTAGCAAGCTCAGGCCCCATAAAAGCTCACTTCCATCACTTCCAGTTCCTCCTAAGCCCAGTCTCAGTTGTCTTTCCAAATCCAGCAGAATGGAGTTTGTGTCAAGATGAAGTATAAGGAACAAATAACAACAAAGGCATAATGGCACATTTATAATCCCAGCAGGGGAAGGTGGACTTTTTTTCTTTTGGACAAGGGTTCTCTGCATAGCTCAGGCTGTTCTGGCACTCACTCTGTAGACCAGGCTGGCCTCGAACTAACAGAGATTCACCTGCCTCTGCTTTCCAAGATCTCCGTGATACCGAGGATAGCTTCTTGATCTACATAGAGAGTTCCAGGGCCACTAGGGCTACATAATGAGACCCTGTCTATCCCATTCCCCCCCCCAAAAAAAATTAGTGCTAGGGCTGAGGATGTGGCCCCATAGTAGAACACATCCTTAACATAAGCAAGGCCCTGGGTTCCAATCCTAGCACCATACCAATCAGCAGAGCCAGGCATGGAGACACATTTCTGGGATCCTACTTGGAAGCTTAGACAGGAGGATGGCGAGTTAGAAACTAGCCTGGACTGTGTGATGAGACCTGTGTCCACAAGAGAAGAAAGCAGTGGTCACTGCAGCTCCCGCCTGCATAGCACAGTTGTGAGTGCCCTATACAGGGGAAGTCACTTAGCCCTCATTTGAGTTGCTTTTCCATTGCTGTGCTAAAACGCCAAAACCAAGGAAGCTTATAAGAGAAGCGTGCATGTAACTGGGCTTCCAGCTCCTGAGGGTCATGGTCCCTGAAGGTGGAGCAAAGGCACAGTAGCAAAAGCAGCTGAGAGTTTACATCTTGAAGAGCAAGCAGGAGACAGAGAGGACTAACCAGAAACGGGACAGATCTTTTGAAATCGAAAAGCCCACCCTCAGTGGCACTCCTTCTCCAACAAGCCTTCCAAAACTGTTCCACCAGCCAGAACTATGTATTCAAGCATGTGCTTTTCGGGGTGTGGGGCATTCTCAATCAAACCAATGGCCCTGAAAGAAACCTAGGAGGAAAGTTGATTACTGTCACCCAAGGAGCAGTTCGGTCATGTGAGGATCAAATGGTTCATGATGGACCAAACCAGAATGAAACCTGGGCTATCTCTGACAAAGGCTGCTGAGGGCCTGGGATGCTCACCTCTGTGCCTGACAGTAATGGAGCTGCTCTTACAGGCCCACGCTGCAGAAGGAATAGTTCAGCCCAAGGCAGTAAAGCCATAGGTGCACACCCTGAACCAGGAAGGCTCCTAACATTCTTCCCACCCTATCCAGATCCTCCCGCCAGCCCCTCCAACCTGTCCTGCCTCATGAACCTCACCACCAACAGCCTGGTCTGCCAATGGGAGCCAGGCCCCGAGACCTACCTGCCCACCAACTTCACCCTAAAGAGCTTCAGGTACATAGGGTTTCCATGTTGGCCCCTTCCTCCAGATCCTGGGATGGGGCACAAGTCATTGTGGGGATTGGGAGTCAGAGGCAAGGACAAGAGGAGAAGGGTCTTGCCTTCTTCCTCTGCTTGACACCAAAGCCCAGCCTCTTGGCAGGAGCCGCACTGACTGTCGGTACCAGGAGGACTCCATCTTGGACTGTGTGCCTGAGGACAGACAAAGCACCTGCTCCATCGCCCGCAAGCACTTGCTCCTGTACCAGAATATGGTCCTCTGGGTGCAAGCAGAGAACGTACTAGGGACCAGTGAGTCCCCAAAGCTGTGCCTTGACCCCATGGATGTTGGTGAGTGATACTGGGTGTGAGAAGGGGGAGAAGTCCCCAAATCGAGAGATCCAGAGGGACACAGGGAGGAAACACAGACCTAGGCACAGACAGGGAGGGTTTGGGGAGACCTGGAGAAAGGCAGAAAAGAGAGAAATAGGGACCAGAGGCTCCATTTATCCTTTCATCTTATTTATTTAGTGTTCACTGATTTTTCTCTGGGAAGCCCCAGCTGTCCTGAAACTTGCTCTGTACACCGGGCCAGCCTAAAACGTGCCGAAACACCACCTGGCTCACCCTATTTATTTACTTATTTATAGGGGCAGTGCATACATATCATGGAGTACATATGGAGGCCAGAGGAACTTTCTGGAATCATTCTCTCTTTCTACCTTGAACACAGGGTCTCTCTTGTCTCTGATGCTTGCCCTTGTACTCCAGGCAACATGGCCTGGGAGTTTCTCTCCTGTCCTTACCCCCCAGTTTGCCATGATGGTGCTGGTAGTACAGATATGTGCCATTGCATTGGGCTTTTTGACACAGGTTTTGGAACTGAACTCGAACTTGGGTCATCAGGCTTGGCCTTCAGCTGATTTTCTTGAAGTATCCCCTTATCCCCACACACACACCCACACCCAGACCCACACCTACTAGGCTGTAGTGGTCCTAAAAAATGGCAGTGAACAAAACTTCAGAAGTCCCACCCTCAGGACAGTACAACAATTTAGATGGCAAACTAATAAAATAGGAGTCCGATGGACTTTAGGAGTTGACAGCTGAGTAGATCATTGGAAGAACTGAGGGGGCAAGCTGCTGGATATCTGGAAAGAAAATGCTGTAAGCAGATGTAGCAACCAGTTCAAAGTCCCTGAAGTAGGCCTTCACCTAGGAAGAAACACAGATACTCATACCCGAGCACAGCTAGAGATAAAAAAGAGGCTGGAAGAGAGGAAAGGGGTGATAAGACAGAGTTTTCCCCATGAGGTGGGGAAAAGTTTGACAACTCCACCCCTTGCAGTGAAATTGGAGCCTCCAGTGCTACAGGCCCTGGACATTAGCCCTGGTCTAGTCCCACGCCAGCCGGGCTGCCTATGGCTGAGCTGGAAGCCATGGAAGCCTGGTGAATTCATAGAACAGGAATGTGAACTCCGTTACCAGCCACAACTTAGAGGAACCAACTGGACACTGGTGAGGCAGGGAACAATCTTGAGACAGAGGTGGGGGATTGAGAGAGGGCAAGTTGCATTTAGTATCACTTTCCACACACCAGGTGTCCCACCTGCCTTCCAGTGAGGACCAGTTCAAGCTTTGTGGACTCCATCAGGCCCCAGTATACACCCTGCAGATTCGATGCATCCGCTCCCCTCTGCCTGGACTCTGGAGCAGCTGGAGCCCTGGCCTGCAGCTGAGGCCCACCGTTAAGGGTGAGAAGCTAGGAGCAGCCATCAGAGCCTAGCCCAGTGCTCAGGGTCTTCTCCAACAAAACCCTCTCATCTCACCCCATCTACAGCCCCCACCATCAGACTGGACACATGGTGGCAGAAGAAGCAGCTGGATTCCGGGATAGAGAGTGTGCAACTGTTCTGGAAGGTGACTCTCTGACACTCCCTCCTATCCTAACAGAGCCCCAGTAGGACTCAAGACTGCAGTGTGCCTAGAAGCCTGGGAGGCATTTCACACATACCTCAGAAACTGGGTAGTGGCCTTGGGGAGAGACTGCAATGCAGGGCTCTAGAGTCACCTGTGCCCCCAAATGGTCCTGACAGAGAATAGTTAAGCACCTGCTGCATGTACTAACTGTCTTCTTCCTTATTTCCTTCCTAGATCTTGCCAGAGGGAAGTAGAGGGAGGGGGAGAAGAGGTCTAGAGCCCAGTTCCTGTGACTGGCCCATGCACCCCAGGTACTGGCCAATTCATAATTGAGCTAGACAACTCCCTCACCGTGTTCTTCCTCACCCATCACAGCCAACGCCCCTACAGGAAGACAGCGGAGAGATCCAGGGGTACCTGCTCTCTTGGAGTCCCTCCAATCAGCAAGGGCCAGACAGACACCTCTGCAACACCACAGAGCTCAGCTGTATCTTCTACCTGCCCTCAGAGGCCCAGAATGTGAACCTTATGGCCTACAACACTGGGGGGACCTCTGTACCTACTCCAGTGGTTTTCTTGGAGAACAAAGGTAGAGGGGGCTGGCAGCTGAGCAGCATAGAGCAGCATGGGAATTCAAAGGCTGGACCACCTAGGCTCCTACCTGTCTAGCCCCACCACTTGCTAACAGAGTGACCCACCAGGTGGCTTCCCTCCCCGGCCCCTGTTGTCTCCAGAACCTGCAAGTGGATGCACTAATGTTGCCTCTTGTGGGAAGCCAACTTTTAAATTATTAATGTTGGACCAGAATTAGGTTAATCTGGGAGAATAGGCATACATGCCTATGAGCATGTGTTTGCACGTGCACGCACATACTCAGAGCTAAGATTCCTACTGTGTGTGTACCTATGCATACAGCACCTGGCAGGCAACCTCACACGTTCTGTCCACTCTTTTTGGAGGCAGACTATCCCACTGGTCTGGAATTCACTGATTAGAATCTACTCTCTTGTGGTCAGTTAGCTCCAGGGATGTATCTGTCTCTACCTTCCCAGTGCCTGTTTTGCTTATTATTTCCACATGGATTCTGGGAATCAAATTCAGGTCTTTGTGCTTGTAAGCATTTGACCAATTAAATTATCTCCCCTGCCAAGCTGGACGGTGGTGGCGCACACCTTTGATCCCAACACTCGGGAGGCAGAGGCAGGAGGATCTCTGTGAGTACGAGACTAGCCTGGTCTACAAGAGTTAGTTTCAGGACAGGCTCCAAAGCAACAGAGAAACCCTGTCTTGAAAAACAAAAACAAACAAAACAAATTATCTCCCCTACCCTGAGCTGTATGATTTTTAATAAGTCTCTCAACCTCTCTGTATCTCCCATCTTTACTTATTGATAAAAGGGAGACAACCTTAGTACCTCCCTGCTGTGACTGCTAGAGAATTCAGTGAATCACGTCCATCAGGCTGAGTGGTGCCAGGAAGGACCATGGGCCAGGCCCTGTGCACATACCAAAGCTTCTACAAGGGGGCAATTTTCTGTTGTCACTTCCACTCGACAGATGAGTTTGAGGCTCAGGTGTTGCTACAACCTGGATCGCAGGTCTGTCACCAGCAAATTCAAGTCTCTAGGACTGCGGCCCGTGTACTTTCCATCTTCACTCCTACTCCCTCTTCCTCTCCAGGTCCAGCTGTGTCCAAACTCCACGCCATGGCCCAAGACCTAGATAGCATCTGGGTAGACTGGGAACCACCCAGCATTCTGCCTCAGGGCTATCTGATTGAGTGGTGTCAGAAGTCCCTCATCCACAATTACAGCAACAAGACCTGGAGAATGGAGCCTGATGGGAGCATCACTGGAATTCTGCTACGGGGTGAGACCCGCCTCGGAGCAGGAAGGGTGGAGGGACAAGAATGGGGAACAGAGAGGGTGGGGCTAGTCCAGAGGTGGCAAGGGCAGTTGGAACCCCCCCCTATAGAGGCAGCCTCCCCAGCCTTTTCTGAACCCTTACCTTGGGGAAGTTCTTCCAGTACTCTAGCCAGATCCTGTCTTTGTGTAGCCCACACTCTGCTCCTATTCCAATTCTCTGTTCCACTTTTCCTTTGTGACATCCATCAAATGAACTACAAGAGATTTCTACCATTATCCCCATAGTCAGAATCAGGCCATGCAGAAAGCAGATTCTGAGGCTGCGTGGCAGAGGTTAGCCTGGACCTTAATGTCATCCCATCTTCTCTCTGCAGAAAACATAAGTCCCTTTGAGCTCTACGAAATCAAGGTGGCCCCTCTGTACCCAGGCATTGTGGGACCCTCCGCAAAAGTCTACACCTACTCTGGAGAGAGAGGTTTGTCTTCCATCAGAATCCTCTCCTCTCTCCCTGGCTATGCCCTAGGAACTGGGAGTATGAGGAAATGGTAACCTTTTCCTTCTGGCCATCCTGGCTTACACAGGGCCTCCCAAAGCTGGGCAGAATTCAGGAGATGGGGTAGAAAACAGGAAGTCATGAATATGAGAGAATCAGGGAGGGAGGGAGTCTCACAGCATCAATCCATGGTCCCAACAGAAATCCAATGTCACATCTGGTAGAATTGAATGGAGTCCCTGACATGATTCAGAGTGTGAGTGGCAGAAATCAGACACCAAGTCAGATAAAACCAGATGTGGCAGAAATTGGAGAGCAAAGATTTGCAACCAGACAGAACTGGATTCACACCCAGGCTCTGCCTCTGCGAGCCATAAAGAGCAAAGAAATTCAGATGAAATCCTGGGTTGGGGGAGGCAGGGAGACTCTAGACTAAGGAGCATGTACCTCTGACCTAGCAACACTGACAGGGTAGGATTATGATTTGGGGGCCAGGCTGAGCTATCTCAAACAAATACAGTTTCCTCTCAGAAGGGATCTCTCTTTTGTGTCTCTGTCTCTTTGTCTTACACACACACACACACACACACACACACACACACACACACCATGTTTTTTGTTTTGAGATTTGAAGTTTGATTTTTTATTGTTTTTGCTGTTGTTTTAATTCATGTATTATTATGTGTGGAAGAGGTACACCAGTGGATGCCTGTGGAGGTCAGAGGACAGCACTGTAGAGTTAGTTCTCTTCTTCCCCCTCTCTTTGCTATGCTAGATAGCTTTCATTATCATTGGGACACAATCTAGGTCTAGTCACCTGGGTCTAGGGAACCTCATTGAGCAATTGTTCACCTTATATTGGTCTATGATTACATCTATGAGAAATCATCTTAATTGATGATTGCTGTGGGACGGCCTAGCCCACTATAGGAAGTACCATCCCTAGTTAGGTGATGGGGATGGGCTATATGAGTAAGTTAGATGAGGGGCTGAAGAGATGGCTCAGCAGTTAAGAGCACTGGATGCTCTTCCAAGGACCCAGGTTCAATTCCCAGCACCCACATAGAAGCCCACAGCTAGCTGTCTGTAACTCCTATTCCAGGTGATCTGATGCCTTAATATAGACATACATGCAGGCAAAACACCAATGCACATAAAGTAAAAATTAATAAAGTAATTTTAAAAAAGAAAAAAGAAAGTTAGAAGAACATGTCAGAGAGCCAGTAAGTAGCTTTCCTCCATGGTTTCTGCTTCAGGTTCCTCCTTAAATTTGTTCTCTGTCTTCTCTCAACAATGAATTATGACTAGAAGTGTAAGCATGAAATGCACTTTCCTCCCCAAGTCAGTTTTGGTTGTGGTATATCACAGCAACAGGAAAGCAAAGTAGAGCATGTAGGGTCCAGGGCTTGAACTCAGGTTTCCAGCCTTGTAGGGCAAAAACTTTACCTTCTGGGCCATTTTGTTGGCTCTTTTTATATTTGTTTTAGAGCAGGGTCTTACACCATAGGCCAGGTTGGCCTCAAAGGCACAGTAATCCTCCTGCATCAGTCTCCAGAGTGTTAGGATTATAGACATGTACAACCACACTCAGCTTCATGAACTCTCTTTTCTCAGTCATCTACTGGTTCTGCGTCCAAAAACGCACTGGAGCCTGGTGGGGCTCACTTGCTCTGATCACATCACATCTTCCACCTCCCCTCTCTCTCCACAGCCCTTCCCCATGCTCCAGAGCTACATCTAAAGCATGTGGACAGCACCTGGGCACAGGTGGAGTGGATACCTGAGACCCCTTGGCTCGGGATGATACCCCTCACCCACTACACCATCTTCTGGACCGATGATAAGAACCAGTCTTTTTGTGAGTCAATCCTCAGTTCCCCACAAGCCAGGGAGGCCTGAAAGAAGTGTTCCTCAGCAGATACAGAGATATTTTAGCACCCCAAACTGACTATATGCTCCACCCACAGCCATCATCCTGAATATCTCCTTCCATGGCTTCGTCTTGGATCACCTAGAACCTGCCCGTTTGTATCATGTCTACCTCATGGCCACCAGCCGGGCAGGGTCCTCCAACAGTACAGGCCTAACCCTGATGACCTTGGCCCTAGGTAAGGAGGAGGGCTGACAGTAATGACTGTTGGGAGGATGCCCCACTTTGCCTCTCAAGGCATACTGGTTTTGCCATGTGTGGTGGTACACATCTTTAATCTCAACACTGACAAAGAGGCAGATGGAGCTCTGTGAGTATGCAGCCATTCTGATCTACATAGAGAATTTCAGGCCAACCCGGGCTGCACAGTGAGAACTTCTCTCAAAAGAAAGTTAAAAAGAAATTCTGATTTTAAAGGGAGGGGAGGACATTATGCAAGTGTGTTTTCTTTTCTTTTCTTTTTTTTATTTATAAAAGGGGGAAAATGCAGTGGTGATGGTGCACACCTTTGATCCCAGCACTCAGGAGGCAGAGGCTGGCACATCTCTGAGTTTGAGGCCAGGCTAGTCTGGTCTCAAAGTAAATTCAGGGTCAACCAGAGCTATGCAGAAAAATCCTGTCTCAAAAAAGAAAGAAAGAAAGAAAGGAAGGGAGGAAGGAAGGAAGGAAGGAAGGAAGGAAGGAAGGAAGGAAGAAAGGAAGGAAGGAAGGAAGGAGAGAAGTCTTCATTTTGAGAGTAATGTGGGCTGCCTTTAGACTTCAGATCTACTGGTCGAAGGGGAGACCAGGGCCCATCTGAAGGGGAGACCAGGGCCCATCTGAAGGGGAGACCAGGGCCCATCTGAAGGGGAGACCAGGGCCCATCTGAAGGGGAGACCAGGGCCCATCTGAAGGGAGACCAGGGCCCATCTGAAGGGGACTTGCCTCAGTGCCCCGCCAGTCTTACTCACATGCACTCCTACCAAGGGTGTCTTTAACTTTTCCACTTTTAACCCCTTTTCACTCAAGAAATTTTTACATAATTCTGAGTATGTACACATGTAAAAACATATCCAGATCACACACTTCCTGATAATAAACAATACATTTTTTTAAAACAATTCTTTGGTATGCATGTGAATTTTCATATACTCAAGACTAAAGTAAATCTGCATACTAATAAGATGGCTGTCCCTGCTTCTCTTATACAGATAATTAAATGTTGGCTGAATGTTTGATATTTCAGAAGCCAAGAGCATCTTCAGCCACCTTCAGCATTTTTCAGAGTTAATCAATAATTTTATTTTTGCAATCATGAATGCTGAGGACAGCACATTACATAAATACACAGTACTGAATGGCAGATGTATGCTTAGGGTCGTTTCAGAGATTGTTGGAAATTCTGGCCTAATCCCAGCCAGAATTCATCCAACAGTTTTTTTCTTTTTTGTGAAATTCAATCAGCAACTCAAACAGCAATTCTTAAAATTACTCATAGTATGATACAATCCAAACATACACTTATTTGATGGCCACGTGCTGATGCTTGATGGCAGGGAAACATTGAAAGTCTTTGTTTCCAGAATTAAACCGTTATGTTCCTGTAATAGCAGAAACCTTTGTACAGTAAACACACTGAGATTCTGAGGTTCAAAGCATACGATAGTCTTGAATCTAAGTTGTGATGCTTCAGGAACTATTTGGTGATAATGTGTGATGTGATGACATGCATGGTGCAAAGTACACCTGTGTGTTTAGAATTAAGGCTGCAGTGGATTCGCATAATGCAACACAGGTGAGTGCTGCCAGACACACATTAGATGAATGCATTTGGGTTTTGGGTTTTTTGATTGTTTGTTTGTTTGTATTTTGGGGGGTTGTTTTGTTTTGTTTTGTTTTCAAGACAGAGTCTCTCTGTGTTGGCTCTAGCTGCCCTCGAACTAGCTCTGTAGACCAGGCATGCCTCAAACTCAGAGATCCACCTGCCTCTGCCTCCCTAGTCCTGGGATTAAAGGTGTACACCACCACCCAGCTAACACTAAACTCTCTTTGCTTTCTCTCACCCCAGAGGCATCTGAGCTACATATTTTCCTGGGCCTACTTGTCTTTCTGATTTCATTTGTCAGCTTCTGTGGGACTATCTGGTTCTGCTGCAAGCATAGGTGAGAGCTCCCGGATTTCCTATTACCCATGGGTGGGGAAGTCCCTCCCTGCCCTCCTGGACCTCCAGGCCCCAGTCTGGGCATCGGTCCTTCCACCTCTCCCCCTCTTCAGCTGTCGGAGTAGGCCAAAGGATGGCAAGCTAAGAGGGCACACCTGAGCCAGAGTTCACTTGCTCCCTTTTCCAGCAGGACAAAATTCTTCTGGCCAAATGTACCAGATCCAGCTCACAGCAGCCTGAGTTCCTGGGTGCCCACCATCATGACTGAGGTAATCTTGAGGCAGAAAGGGGAAACAGATGTGTAGGACTGGCAGATGAGGCACAGTTGCTAAAGGGATGCCCTTCTGAGTGAGGAACACACACTTGAGTCTCACTTTCAACCAGAGACACCCCATGCACACACACATTCTCTCTCTCTCTCTCTCTCTCTCTCTCTCTCTCTCTCTCTCTCTCTCTCTCTCTCTGCTTTGAAGAGATGCAGGCCTGACTTTCACTCTCAAAGCTTTACCACGCCATGGATGCATGGGTGCTGCAGCAGGGGTAGGAGGTGCTGTGGCAGGGGTGAGGATTCCTTTGTGACAGATACATGTCAGGAATGATAGGTGCCGGGCAAGTATATCTCTTTGTGCTCTGCCACACAGCAGCAAGAACAATCACACAGTGGCCTCATCTCAGGAAGGTACAATGGGTAGGGCAGACATTTGGCATAAACCATGCCTCACTTTGTATCTCTGTGTTCAGGAAATCTTCCAGCTGCCCAGCCTCTGGGACTCTGGCATGCCACCAGTCACCAAGATCACTGTGTTGGAGGAAGATAAGAAGCTGACTAATTGGGATTCCAGTGACAACTCTCAAACTAGCAGCCTTCCCACCCTGGTTCAGGCCTACGTTCTCCAAGGAGATCCAAGAGCAACTTCCAACCAGTTCCAGTCCTCCTCTGGCACTAATGATCAGGTCCTTTATGGTCAGGTGCTGGGGAGCCCCACCAGCCCAGAAGTGATGGGATACCTTCGCTGTGATTCCACGCAACCCCTTTTGGGGGGCCTCACACCCAGCCCTAAGTCCTATGAAAACATCTGGTTCCATCCAAGACCCCAGGAGACCTTTGTGCCCCAATCCCCAAGCCAGGAAGATGACTGTGTCTTTGGGCCACCGTTTGATTTCCCCCTCTTTCAGGGGCTCCAGGTCCATGGAGTTGAAGAGCAAGAGGGTTTCTAAGACTTCTTGGGTCACTGAATCTTGAAGGCCCTGGCCAGTTCAGAGGAGAAGAACCCTCCACTGAAATCCACTGGCCCTAAGAGAAGCAGAAAGTCCCAATCTGCCCCATCCCTGGCCACTAATACCTCTCCTTCACCCCGGCCTCCACAGGCTTCACCCCCCAGGACACCCTCATACTCTAGGCTCCAGATACATACTGCTTCCAGCCCACCACTCGCCTCTTGTGTTTCCCATAATTTCAGTCTGTTAAGCTGATTTTGAGTTGGGGCTGGTATTTTCAGAAATTCTTGCCAGAAGTGGTGATACATGCCCATCATTCCAGCGAGGGAGGAAGAAGCAGGAAGACTGCAAGTTCTAGGCCAGCCTGGGCTACATAAGGAGATCCTGTCTCAAAAAGTTAAGCAAAAGCTAAATAAATATTAATTTTTTGCTACATCTATATTTTTTTTTTTTTTTTTTTTTTTTTTTTTTTTTTGGTTGGGATAGGGATTCTCACACAGAGGTCAGAAGAAAACTTTTGGGAGTTGGTTTTGTCCTTCCAGCCTGTAGATCCTGGGAACTGGGCCCAAGGTTTAGTGGAAAGCACCTTTTCCCATGGAACCACCTCACTGGTCCCAGAAAAGAATCCCTTGGACATGGCTGGGTGTCTTTCGGGACCAAGAAATTCAGAAGATATTTCTAAGAATCATTAATCTCTTCCTTCCTTCTTGACTCCTTTCCTTCCCTCAACCAGCTCCTACCTAGTATCTAAGTTGTGTGCCAACATCAGAGATACAAGGACAGCTCAGGCCCACATAAAAAGCTCCCATACTGGCAGTGTTGACTTGAAACTGATTATCAGGAAACAGAGGCAAGAATTGCTTGGGAGGAGTTGGAGTGCTGGGGAACACAGTGAAGAGACCAGGGATGAGACTAGCCAACTGGAACCTTAACTCCAATACTTGGGGGACCAAAATAGGAAGTCTGTATGCTTGAGACCAAGATGTGATGTGATTCACAGCAAGTCAAAAGCATCTATCTATCTATCTATCTATCTATCTATCTATCTACCTGCTGTGTGTGCCTGTAGTGGGGTGGCTGGAGAGATAGCTTTAGCAGTCAAGAGCACTGGCTTCTATCCCAGAGGACCGAGATTCAATCTCAGCTCCCATGTGGTGACTTATAACCATCAGTAACTCATGCTCTAGGAGAGCCAGTGCCTTCTTCTGGCTTCCGGGGCAGCAGACACACAGGTGATGCACAGATACACATAGGTAAAACACTCATATGCAAAAAGTACAATAAAAGCTTACAATTACAACTACAACAAGGAAATACAACTTCAACAAGGTCTCAGGTCTGAGGATGCAGCTCAGAGGTAAAACACTGCCTGCCTAGTATGTATTATGTATGAGTCTCAGGGTTTGAATCTCAGCATAGGTAGAAAGAAATCCCTTACCAACCCAGAAACCCTTTCCCTAAGGAGAAAAGAATGAGAAAAAAAAGCATCGTTATTTAGTAAACATTAAGCCAGAATGGGACTTTCATGGCAGGCCATCACTAAAGAGGTTAATTAGACAAGCTTTACCTTTTTTTTTTTTTTTTTTTTTTTTTTTTTTTGAAGGACTTACTTATTTTTATTTTATGTACATGAGTGTTTGCCTGCATAGATGTCTGTACATCACATATATACAGTGTCCACAGAGGCCAATAGAGGACATCTGGTTCCCTGAAACTGTTGTTATGTATAGTTGAGAGCCACCACACTGAGCCCTCTATGCAGCCCTATTTTTAGGGTTTTTTGTTTGTTTGTTTGTTTGTTGGTGTTTTTTTTCCCCTTTGAGGAAGCACCAATACTTATGTCTGTGGTAATTGCATGTACACATTTCCAGAAAAAACGCACAAGAATTTCTTTTTCAGCCAGGCATGGTGGTGTTCGCCTTTAATCCCAGCACTTGAGAGGCAGAAGCAGGAGGATCTCTGTAAGTTCAAGACCAGCCTGGTCTACAGAGAGAGAGTTCCAGGACAGCCAGAACTACACAGAGAAACCCTGTCTCGAAAAACAAACAAACAAACAAACATCTCTACATCCTCACCAGCATTTGCTATCACTTATGTTCTTGGTTGTAGTAGGAGTCTAGTAGAGTCATTGTATCTAGGGTAAACATTAGAATGCAATAGTTGTTTCTCAATGTATCTAGGATAACATTAGGATGTATTAGTGCTTGTTGGAGGTACTTAGGCCTTGAAGAAATCATTGTAGAGAACAGTGATTGTTTTCTACGATTTATAGGGTTACATGACTTTAGTCACACACTATCTTGGCACACCTGGAGTGTCTCACACTGAGTACCGTGAAGAGTGCACAATAAGGACTGAAGTTGTGGGGGTATGATATTTTCCTTCAGAGAACGTATAGAACAGACCAAAGGGCTTTGAGGAAATTGTTTTCCAAAAGCAACAACAACAAAAAACACTTGGGTAACAATCAATAAATACACCTTTGTAGGCTGTTTAGGGTTCAGTTCATCAAGGTTGGACATCCTTGCTGCCACAGGACCTAAATTTATCTTGGAGTGACCCTTTTTCTTTGATCATCTCGTGCACCACAGAACACTGACATTTAGTGATAGCCATTCTCTGTTGGGGTGAGATGGTTTTCAATGCCCTTTTTTATTTGCTTGGTTTTGTTTTTTTCGAGACAGGGTTTCTCTGTGTAGCAGCTCTGACTTCTCCTGGAACTTGCTTTGTAGACCAGATTGAACTCAAACTCACAGAGATCTGCCTGCCTTTGCATTCTGAGTGTGTGCGCCGCCACCACCCTAATATCAGTGCACTTTTAATTTGCATTTCCTTTGTAGCCAGATGTGTTTAATAAGCAGTGTTTCTCCCTGAACCTGGAGCTCCTGGATTCAGCTAGACTAGCTGGCCAGTGAGCTCCCAGAATTCATCTACTTTACCTCCCTGAACCCCTGCACTAGAATTACAGGCACTGGCTTCTACTTGGCTGCTAAAATCTGATCTTGGATCCTCATGATTGCACAGCAGGCACTTTACCAACTGAGTCATCTTCCCTGCCACATCCCTCATGTAGCCAGGGCTGGCCTCAACCCTGCTATTATTTAGTGAGAAATGAGATTCTAGGACACAATATAGGCTGATTGATGTTTATTCGGGGAGAAATCACTTACACCAGAAACAGAAGACTGCTGCAGGTTCCCGCTCCAAGAATGCCCCAGGATGCTCCCTGTCTCCAACCAGGAAGTAAGAGTGAGAGCTGGGGTCCAGGACCCCAGACCTAGATCCCACAGGTCACGTCTGCACTTGACCCTATGCCCCAATGGGCATGATCAGTGCAACAGGTGCAGACAGGGTAGATATCTCACTACATGCTATGCAACCAAAAATGACCTTGAACAACTTCTAATCCTCTTGCCTTCAATTCCAAAGTGCTGGGATTACAGGCACATACCAACTATACCCCATTTGTGTGTACTGCTGGGATGGACTGTGCATTCTAGGCAGAGACTCTACTAACCAAACTACAGCCCCAGTTGCCCAAAGTCGTTTTAATTTCAAGCAATCACACTCTCACCAATTCTTGAGTGTGCTATTATAAGAGTCCTTTTCAGAAAAGACTTTACCTATGTCTGTCTACTTTTCTCTGGCTCTGGTCTCAGGTTCTGGGTCACGTCAGGGGCAGAGTGTTCTTTCTTTCACCCTTTCCACCTCACTCCATACTTTTCCTTTCTATTTGCCCTTACATTCCTCCTTTTACTATAGTCACAGCTAACTGAATACTGAATGCTGACTATTTAACCACATGTTCTGTATACTATGGCCTCAGTTTATAGGCTGAACCACCCAAAAGACACATTACCATCCCCATTTGATATTTGGCCCAGAAGGGTAGACTTTGCCCTCAGGATCTCATAGGAAAGGCTCAGCAAGCACCCTTCCAAATCTCCATCCTTAGTCCCTAGGCTACAAAGCTGCTCAAAGAAGGCTGGTAGCTGGGGGTTCTTACAGGGGTGGGGAAATGAGAAAGAATATTAAGCTCTGTGGAGGGTATGGCCAGTCCCACAAAAGACCCTCCCAAAAACAAACAAACAAAAAAAACTAGAGACTAAGGCAGTGATCGTCAACCTTCTTAATGCTGCGACCCTTTAATACAGTTTCTCATGTTGTGGTGACTCCCCATCCCCACCACCATAAGATTATTTTCATTGTAATTTTGCTGTTATGAACCGTGATATAAATATCTGATATGCAGGATATCTAATATGCGACCCCTGCAAAATGGTCGTTCGACACACACACACCCGCCATGGGTCGCAACCCATAGGCTGACCACCACTAAGGTCAAGAACGTAGGAAGTGATTTAGACCGGTGCAAGGTCTGTAAGTGACATTTTAGAGTTTACACAGTACGCTACACCAGTAGCCATAGATCCAGGCCATCACCGGCCAAACCTGCTAGCTTCACCCCAGTTACTCTGAGCTCCCGACTAATCCATTCGCTCAGCCCTCGGCTGCTTTTGTCGAGCGCTGGCCTCGATTGGTCGAGCCTGAACTGTCATGGCTGCGCCCGTGTAACCCAGCGCCACCGCAGAGGGGTCAGTGGCGGCGCGGGCTGCAGGGTCAGAAGTCGTCATGCTGCGGGCGACGTGGTGCGCTCTGAGCTCCCTTCGTGCCCAGGCAGTGACACAGTCTCCAGTGTCTGCGCTGCGGATCGGAGGAAGCGCCAGTCTGCCCTCAGCACGCTGCGGCCTGCAGCCTCCGAGTGAGCCGCCGAGCAGGGGCCGGGAGGGCTGGGCGAAGATGGAGGATACTGTGCATCCGGAGACCAGAGAAAGGCAGTGGCGGGATGAGAAACAAAGAGTGGTGGCTAGGAAGGAATGACGAAGTGGGAGAGAGGGGAATGGGGCGCTAGTTAGGTGCCGGTGCACGCAGGCCGTGGTGGAAGGGTCATGCTGGGTGCGGAAGGAAATGTCAGCTCTTTCTGTTCTGCATAGGTCTCCTGCATGCCGCCCGTGCATACGCTATTCGGAAACCAGGTAGGAGGACTTGGGCCAAGATGCAGAAAAGGCACCACCTGGACAGCTTGGGGTGGACAAGGGGACAGAGGAGGTGCGGAAAGGGGCGGGCCAGGAGAGCCCACTACATCCACATTTTATAGACCCAAAGCCAGGAGTCTTTGTTTATGGGGTGCACCTGGAGGCAGGAGTAAGAGCTTTCGAGGGGAATATTAGTGAAAATGGGTGAGTTCTTAACACCAGACCTTCCTAGAGTTTGTGTAACGCTTTTTATCTGCCATTCTGACTTGGAGAGTGTAGTTTCTCATCCCAAGTTGGTATGCCTTAGGGCCCTCTAACGAACAAATGTTATTTGAGGCAAGTTTGCTTTGTGTGAACCAGTGCTGACATGAGTGTCACAGGATCCTTTGGGACACATTGTTATTGGGATTCAGTTACGATAACATATGAGAAACACTCCTAGCCCTGTGCTCGATAAATTATAAGGTGCAATAGTATTTATCGCTGCTGGTGATATTCCACCTGTCCCAGTGTGGAAACAAGGGGGGTTGTGAGAAGTGCAGGCACAGTACATGTCTTGGGAAAGGTCATCTGTTTGCAACATGAAATATGAAAGCAGGTGCCCACGGGGCTTGCAGATGAGAGACTGGGCTTAATGTAAGCCCGTTGCCTTGTTGAGACCCTAGGCATTTCTCACGGATTTGGGGAGTGAGGGAGAAGAGTGGAACCTGGGAGAATGAGAGTTATCTGTTTTCCATCCCATTCCTGTATTTGACAGTCCAACCCAACCAAGATGATGAGCCACCCCCTTCCACATTCATCAAAGAATACAAGAATATCATCCCCAGCATGCAGAAGTAAGCAGTAAGAAACCTACTCGAGGACACAGGTGTCCTGGGAGGATGGGTAGGGAGTGGGAAAGGGTGATGTAAAGCCTTGGCCTGTTGTACTTGAAGCTTGATTGTGTGGAGCCCTGGGTGTGGTGAGCACGGGGAAGGACCCCAGGTATGGTGGGGTTCAGGTGGGCAGCTGGTGCACATGGAGTTTATCTGCCCTTTCTTCCTGGTACTGAGTGAAGACCTTGTGCCAGTAGATGCCAAAGAACTAACATGCTCTAGTGGTCTTGGTAGAAATCTCTCTTCTCTTGACCGCACAAAAGCCCTGTGAGAGAAGAAATCGTGACCTAGTTATATAGAGTTATACGTGCCCTGAATTATACAGAACATGGATCCTGAGCTGACAGACACCAAAGCCCAGGCCCTTTTCACCCACTGTCCAGTGGGAGCTGGGCTAGCTCTAATCATGCCTGCTCTGCAGTCTGGCTGTGTCCAGCTGAGGTGGAGATCCTCCCTTTGCCACTCAAGCCAACAGCCCCAATTATCTGGTGCTGTCTTCAACCCAACAAACCAGAGCCATGTTACCTCTGAATCCCTGAGAAATGGCTACCTTCTTCTGGAGAGCTGCATTTTTTGTAGAAGTGACTGACATTTGTTCTTTTTTTTCGAGACAGGGTTTCTCTGTAGCTTTGGAGCCTGTCCTGGAACTGGCTCTGTAGAGCAGGCTGAACTCAAACTCACAGAGATCCGACTGCCTCTGCCTCCTGAGTGCTTCAACTAAAGGTGTTCGCCACTAACGCCTGGCCCTGCCATTTGTCCTTACTTTTTAAATATTCTTAACAATTTATTTTTATTTTTGTGTGTTTGTGCCAGCATGTGTATATGTGTTGGTATGTGTGAGTGCCCATTGGGATCAGAAGGCAGCATTGGATTTCCTGGACTTGGAATCACAGGAGGTTATAAGCCAGCTGATGTGGGTGCTGGGAAACAAACGGGCCCTTTAAAAGATCAAGTGCTCCTAACCACTGAACCATCTTTCCAGTCCCTACTTTTTTAAAATTTGTATCTACTATTATTGTGTGTGTGCATGATGGGAGGGGGAGGATGTCTGCCAAGCTCACATGTGGAAATCGGGGCCAGCCCTGTGGAGTCCATTCTCCTTTACAGATTTATGGTTCCAGTGGTCAGGTTTGCATAGCGCCTGTACATCTCTGACCAGCCCTGTTCGTCATTTTTTGTTTGTTTGTTTCAATGTTTTTAAATTTATTTATGTGTATGTTTTGCCCATATATATATTTGTGTACCACATGTGTGCCTGGTTCATACAGCAGTCACAAGAGAGCATTGGATCCCCTGGAACTAGAATTACATATAGATTATAAGCCACCAGATGGAGGCTGGGAACTGAACTTGGGTCCTCTGTAAGAGCAACAAGTGCTCTTTACTGATGGTTACTGAACCATCTCTTCAGGACCACCACCTTTTAAGACAAGGTCTCACTCTGCCATTCTTTCTTTTTAAACTACTGTCAGCTACTTGAAATGGCTAGTAGTTGGACTAGCTAGATGGCTCAGTATTCTGGAGTGTTGCTGCTCATCCAGAGGACAAGAGTTTTATTCCCAGCACCCATGCCCGACAGCTCAAAATCACCTGTAATTCAGAGCTCCAGGGGTCATACATCCTCTTCTGGTCTCCACGGGCAGCTGCACACATACAGATGCATACATTTTTAAAGAAAAAAGCCTTTCTTCCCCTTCCCGGTGCTTGTCTCATTGCTCTGTGTCTTCCTCAGGGTTGATGATGTTGTGAAAAGAATCTTGTCTTTGGAAATGGCTGACCAGGTGAGTGCCTGTGCTGCCTTAAGGCTTGGCATCCCTCAGTCTTCTCCCTGGAAACTCCTTCCATCCCTACACCCGGGCTTGGGCTTAGAACGTTTCTCCCATTGTCAGGCCCTATCCAAAGTAAGAGACAGAGTTTTGGTCCTCCATGGTGCCCAGGCATCTGATAAACAGTAGGTACACGATAAAGATGTCCTCTTGGTCACTGTTTTGGCTTTTGTTTTATTGGGGTTTTTTTGTTTGTTTGTTTTTTGTTTTGTTTTTGTTTTTTGCTGGGAAGAGACTGTGACCAAGGCACCTCTTATGAAAGAAAGCATTTACTTTGGAGCTTGCTTGCAGCTTCAGAGGTTTAGTCCATGATTGTCACTGTAGGAAGCATGGCAGCATGCATGCAGACACTGGAGCAGTAGCTGAGAACTAACTACATCCCAATCCATAGGCAGAGAGATACTGGGACTGGATTGGTTTTTGAAAGTCTAAAGCCCACCCCTGACACACTTACTCCAACAAAGCCACACCTCCTAATTCTTCTCAAGTAGCACCCCTCCTAGATGACCGAGCATTTAAATATATGAACCTAAGGGGCCATTCTTATTCAAACCACCACAGATTTATACATGGATAAGCAAGATTTAAGGATATTAAGCCAACAGACTACTTCTCTTATCTCCATTTTTACCTTGAGCTCATAAAGATATGAGTATCCATGTGGCTGGCCAAGGCCACAGTAAATACAGTAAACTCTGGCCCCAGTTTTTCTGGGTCTAGCTGCCATAACTGCCACCTTCCAGTCAGGAAGGTTAGTCCTTAGAGGATCATAAACCACACAGATTTCTCCAATTTCTGTCTTCAACAGAAAGAGAAGCTAAAAATCAAGCAAGAACAATTGCTGAGCAAGATTACAGAAAACCCTGAGGATTCAAGAACCTTGGAGGCTCAAAGTTGGTCCAGGGGCCCTTGGAAGTGGGGGGGGGGGGGAGTGGAAGAGGAGTCTGCTAGCTGGTACCTGGTCTAGGGCTTTTGAGGTGGCTTGGGAAGGGGAAAGTCATGGTTCAGTGAATGCCTCCCATTTCACTGTGTGACGTCACACAGGTCACCTGTCTTCTCTAGGGTCCCTGCCTCCTGTTATGATATGCAGCACGGAGGTGGGATCCCATGGTAAGAGACAAGCATGCCATCAGACAGAATTTACATAGGAAGGAAGTTTATTGGGAAAGGGAGGGGAATGAGGGGAGAAGAGACAGAGAGAGCAAGAGAGACAGAGACAGTGACCTGACTCCTCAGAGAAACAGCAGAAAGAAGAGTGGGAGTAGGCAGAGCTTGTCTGTTGTTTTGGTTTTGGTGTTTTGGAGACAGGGCTTCTCTGTGTAGCTTTGGAGCCTGTCCTGGAACTAGCTCTTGTGGACCAGGCTGGTCTCAAACTCAGAGATCCACAGCCTCTGCCTCCTGAGTGTTGGGATTAAAGGTATGTGCCACCACTGCCTGGCAGGCAGGGGCTTATCTCTTAAAGGGACTTTGCGCCTTTGTACAGAGACGGTGACTCTGCCAAGTCCCAAGGGTCAGGGCTAAGCTAACACGTCCTACTCTGAAGATAGAGCTAGCTAGGGACAGGGCAGAAGACTATGTCCTAACTTTGTGGCAAGACTCTGAGACTCTAGAGAATATAAACACACCCAGGAAACAAAAGATTAGGCTAGTAGCAGTGAGAATCACATCTGCAGAATGCTATCAGGCTCATTGGCATGGAACATTTCCACATTCCTATTTTAGTTTCCAGCTGGAATTGGCAGTAGCCCTAGTTAGATGTGAGGGAAAGCCTGCCTCTTGAATTGAAGAGGAGCAGCAGTGGGGTGGGTTGGTGGCCTTTGTGCAGTGTCTGCATGTTTCCTTCCCCATTGCCATTGGCCTACATTGCAGCTTTTATTATCGCCTCCCTCTTCATGCCTCATTCACTTTTTTAAAGTTTTGTTAATGTGTATGAATATTTTGCCTGCATGTATGTCTGCACTATGTGCGTGCCCAATGTTATTGGAAATCAGAGAAGGGCTTCAGAGTCCCTGGAACTGGAGTTACAGATGTTTGTGAGCCACCATGTGCTGGGAATCAAACTTGGGTCCTATGGAATAACAGTTGTTCTTAGCCCTGTGCCATCTGTCTAGTCCTATAAGTGAGAAATTTTAGTTCTAAAAATATAGTAATGAAAGCACAGAAAAAGAGTATAGATTTTAAGTATATTCTTTATTGTTATTGTGTGTGTTTGTGATGTCTGAGAGCATGTACATGTGTGGCACACAAGGAACGTGTGGAGATCAGAGGACAGTGGTCAGAGGTCCATTCCTTCTTCCACCATGGCTTCCAAGGAGTGGAGTCAGGGTGTCAGGTTTGTGCCACAGCACCTTTACCCACTCAGCCACTGTCTGGGCCCTCTTGACAGTTTTAGAGTCTTATCTTAATACGTTGGCTGGGACCTCTAGTACAGTAGTGAATCATTGAGTTAATTCCTAAATTTAATGCTCTTGCAAGTATGTTCAAACTGTGGCCTGCAGGCTACATGTGCCCCCAGGTAGCTATTAATGCAGCTCAACTCAACACAAAATCATAAGCTTTTTTAAAACATTGATGGGTTTTTGGTTTTCTTGTTTTTAGGTCTCATTCCTTTTAGACCAGTAATTCTCAACCTTCCTAATGTTGTAACTATTTATTACAGTTCTTTATGTTGTGGTTGTTACTTCATAACTAATGTTGCTACTGATATGATCATAATGTAAATATCTGGTATGCAGGATATTTGATATGCAGAATACCTGATATGTGTCGTTCCCCCCCCCCCAGAGGAGTTGAGACCCACTGGTTGAAAACTACTGTTTTAGACATTGTCTTAGCCCCAGCTGGCCTGATGGGGCTGGCCTGTGGTGTCAACAGCTCACAGAGATCTGCCTGCCTGTGCCTCCATTATTTTTGTAATTGAACTGCATTGTTCTTAGGCATAAAACACTTGTACATGAAAACACTATGTCACAGTGTCCAAAAATAGGACTAAAATTTTGGCGTTGAGAGTGCTGTTTACCAGCCAGTCAGAGTGGCACGCCCATAATTCCAGGGAAGGTAGGCAGAGGCAGAAGGATTACAAGTTCAGTCTGGGCTACACAGCAAGTTTAAGGTCAGACTGAGCCCCATAGTGAGACTTGTATCAACTACCTTCTCCCACTACCGCCCATATACACAATGCTGTTTGCTATGATGAATAATGATCTTTGCAAATTAAGTCATTTACTTTTCTTGAGCCTGCTTTTCTTCTGTCTTTTCTAGTACAGTGATAATCCAGTCTTTTGAGATCTTGTAATTCAGACAGGGTGCTTTGGGATTTAGAAAGAACTATGCAAAAGCACTGGTGATTGTTACTTCTTTGGTTCTTAAAACACGAGCTAGGCCTGGGCCCTTCCTTCCTCTGTGCCCAGCTCTCATCCTCTGTGGTTTGTGGTTTCAGTTGTTGCCTTGACTGTCAGGATCCGCAATTATGAAGAACATATGCAGAAACATCGAAAGGTACACCCTGGGCTTCCCTCACAGCTAAACCACAATAGCCTGGGGGAGGGGAGTCTGGGATAAAGGGCTCTGGATCCTAAGAAGCCATGGCTGACACCTCTACTCCAGTAGGAAGGAAGACACTCCCCTCCTGCCTCTTGAGGGACAAAGGGAGCCTTACAGGGCTCTGCTGAGAGTCATCAGTGGTCAAGAAAAAAAAACTATAGACTATGGTCACGTTGGACAAGTAGTGGGTGTTTAATAAATATTTGTTGAATGTATGGATAGTCAGATTGACCTATTCAAATCCTAGCTCTGTCACTTCTACTTAACATCGCTGTGACTTTGGGACGCTTATTGGTCTGAGCCTATGTTCTCACATCTGTGAAGTAGGACTCCTGCCACAGGATTGCAAAGATTACATGAATTAATCCTAGCAGTTGGTATGGTGCATAGGTCTTGCCAAGTGCTCCATTCCTAACCACTCATTGCTCAGCTGGGCAGCACAGAGCTGCCAGAAGTAGGAAATTGCCATTGGTTTTGGTCCCTGTGCTGTCCAGGCTAACTTTGAACTCCCCAACCTGTCATTTCAGCTGCCTAAGAGCTAAATTACAGGGTGCTATCACACTCAACTACTTGTGGTTTTCTAATAAGTACACAATTATGAACACAGACTGGTCTAGCCTTGAGTACTCCCAGGAGCTAGTTGAACATGCTCTTTGGAAATCAAAGTTTTGCTCATTAGAGATATAGAATCCCAGCCCCTCACAGAGTAGGACCTATAACAGAGGATAAGGTCCTGTTTCTCCCTGACAATCTGCTAAGTGCTGGAGAAGCTGAGTAGATGGTACAGGGGAAAATGAGATTTGAAGTCAGACTAGTCAGTAGACCCAGATTGAAGACTTGACCTCAGATTCCACAGTCTGAAGAGCTATTGAAAGTCAAGGAAGTTCAGACCTCTGTTTTCCTGTCTGTAACTGAACATTGACAGTGCCTCTTGCTGAGCTATACGTTTGTATAAGATTGTTGGGATGGTTCAATGAAATACACCATTAATGGTAAACAATGTTAATACTTATAGGATATTAAAAGTAAGAGTAATATGTATGATGGCTTAGGCCTGTCATCCCAGCAAGCAGGAAGCTGAGGCAGGAGAATTGCCATGTGTTTGAGACCAGCCTGAGCTACAGAGTGAGACCTTCTCTCAAAACAAGAAGTAGTAATAGCAATACAAATTCTTCTATAGGACAAAGCCCACAAACGCCATCTGCTGATGAGCATTGACCGGAGGAATAAGATGCTCAAATTCCTCCGTCAGACCAACTATGATGTCTTTGAAAAGACGTGCAAGGAGCTGGGGGTGGAATATACCTTACCCCCTCTGCATTTCCAAAAGGTCCACCGCCGCTTCCTGGCCAAGAAGGCTCTGTGCATTCGGGTATGAATCAATATGATCGGTTGCTTTGGTTGATCTCCCTGGACTGAGGTGCAGAATAGAAGGGAAAAGGTGTCTGTTTCTGACCATGGCTTAGAACTGGGGTTTCCTTGAGATAGTTCCCACAGACCTGTTCCAAACCTGAGGTTTTGCAAAAAATTACAAAGTTTTTTCCTGCTCCCTTTCAACCACCAGGTTTTCCAGGAGGTGCAAAAGCTGAAGAAGCAAAAAAGGGACTTAAAAGCTGCTGCAACAGCTGCCAAAAAACAAAATAACCAGGGGGTGCCAGAGAACCCTTCCCAAACCCTACCAGAAACGACCAAAGAAAACTAATAAAGTCTGTTCTGCCTTGAAGAATGATAGATGGTGGCCTTCTTTTCAGCCTGAGCAAGAGGGATTTGTTCTCCATCTGGCCCTGGGATCTATCTCAGGGGCAGAGTCCCTCCATCACCCCAGAGGATTCAGTCATAGAAACATGTCATATGCTATGTTTCAGAGAGGTGACACTGGCAGGGTAGGAGGGAAGCTGTAGGAGCTGTCTACTGGACTGGGCCCTAAATGATGAGGATGATTTTACTGGGCAGAGAGAAATGGCATCTAAGCAGAAGAAATTGTAAGTTAAAAGGGAAAGAAATCTAGAGGTACACATTCAGGGACAGTGGGATTTAGAAATAAATATTAACACTGGAGTTAGGGCTTTAGCCTATGAATGAGGCTGAAACATAAAAAACATTCAGTTCATACTAAAGAAAGAACTTTGGACCTCATTCTGAAAAGGGAAACCCCACAAAGAGAACAATATGTTAAAGTGCTACTACCAAACAACAGTTGGAAGATCAGGGTTGAGGTCTGGACCAGAGCGGTTTGGAAGTCTTTCGGTAACTGAAGCCCTAGGTGTGTGGCTGCTTAGGGATACTGGGCTGCGGTATTTGAATGACTAATTCCAGCACGAGAGAGGCAAGAATCATTTCAAGGTCACCTTGATTGCATAGCTAGTTTGAGGCCAGTCTGAACTACATGAAACCATTTCTCCAAGAGTTTAAATTGCTCAGGGAAGCAATGGCTTTTTTGTTTAATAAATAAATAAATAAATAAAGCCATGTCAGGATGGGAAAAATTATTCCTGGGAACACAGGATCCCCTTGAGATGAAGGTGAGTGGATAGAAAGAGTCAAAGTAAAGATGAAGCCAGGTAGTGGTAGCACTTTAATCCCAACACTCTGGAGGCAGAGGCAAGTGGATTTCTGAGTTCAAGGCCAGTCTGGTCTACAGAGTGAGTTCCAGGACAGCCAGACTACACAGGGAAACCCTGGTGGGGGTGGGGGTGAGGTGGGGGGCTTCAGTGAAGATGAATTCTGTGGTTATCCCGTCCAGGAACAGTAAGAAAGCCTTAACCTTTCTGAAGACTAGAGGCTAAGGAGAAAAGGCCACACTAGTGGATCAGGCAGGAAAGGCACTGTTTTAAATGCCAACTTGGGCACTTTATCTTGCCTGACATTCAGATTCTCAAACTGACCCCTCTCCACCCCAACCCCAGACTGGGTTTCTCTGTGTACCCCTGGCTGGCCTCGAACTCAAAGAGTTCGTGTCTGCCTCCTGAGTGCTGGGATCACAGGCGTGCTGTTTTTTTTGGTTAAGACAAGGTCCCAGTCCTGGCTGTTCTGGAACTTGCTATGTAGACCAGGCTGGACTCTGCCTACAAAATGCTGGAACCAAAAGCATGTTTCACCAAGCCTGATTTCCAGCTCTGACACTCATAGAGGGAAAATGCTGAGAGAAAGGGAGTCTGTTTTGACAGCATTAGGGAAGCAGAGGCAAGTAATCTATGTGAGTTCGAGGCCAGCCTGGCCTCCAGAGTTCCAGGACAAGTTCCAAAGCTACACAGAGAAACCCTATTTTGAATAGAAAAAAAAAAAAAAAAAAAAAAAAAAAGTCTATTACATGTAGCTGTAAGCTTTTATGTGTTCCACCCAGTCCTGCAGTCACTTATAAAATAGTCATTCTGTGTTTGGCCAATGGCTCAGGCATATTACTAACTAGCTCTCACAATTAAATTAATCCATTTCTATTAATCTGCATATTGCAAAAGGCTGTGGCTTACCAGTAATGCTCTGGCGGCCTTACTCCTTCAGCGCCCAGTCTCCTTGACTCTGCCTTTCCTCTCTCCTTATCTGTTTGGATTTCCTGCCTGGCTATTGGCCAAATTAGCTTCTTTATTAACCAATGGTAATAAAACATTCACAACATTCAGAAAGGTCATCCCACATCAGTTATAGGTGGGACTAGGGTGTTAAGCTCAAGTTGTACTAGACAATTTCAAAAAGCTTGACTGGTAAGAGGGGGAAAGGAAAACAACTAAAAGTGTGACATGGAGGATGCCAGAAGCGGGAAGCCACTAAAGGAATGTGGGGAGGGGATTGTTGTTTGGGGTTTTTGCTTTGTTTTTTGAGACAGGGTTTATTTGTGTAGCCTTGGCTATCCTAGAACTCACTCCATAGATCAAGCTGGCCTCAAACTCAGAGATCTACCTGCTTCTGCAAGCGCTGGGATTAAAGGCGTATGTATGACACCACCACCTGGCCTGAAATGTCCAGTTTTTAAGATGTATCTTCTGAAATTTAGTCCAGCAGCCAGTGCAGAGCAGTGACACGAAGGAACATAGGACTACAGAAAAGGACATTAAGGAATAAATGTGAGAGATGATGTGAGAAAAAGAATTTGATGGTTGATTATTAATAGGACCCAGGGAGATGGATGTGGAAGCCAAACCTCAAGACTCAAGATTGCTGGGGGTGGGGGTAAGGGAGGGGAATGCTTAGCAGAAACACTGGAATCTACAGGAATCCCATGAAAATAACCCGCCGGCCCTAATCCTGGGGCAAAATGTGGAGAACCGCGTGCGGGGCCTACTTAAACCGTGGGGAGGGCCGAGCCGGGTTGCTTCACTGAGTAGCATCTGATGCTGCATCGCTTCCGGGAAGGTTTAGGAAGCAAATACAAACGATGAAACATATCGAGATAAGGGACAGGTATAAGTCAGGGTGCCTCCGTGGCGCTTGCCATGATCTCACTGCCATGATGTTCCTCTGAGCATCTCCGGGAGGTAGCTGAGAAATCTGCCCTGAGCAGCACAGCAGGCAACAGCAAGGCGCGACTGTAGGCCTGCCGCTCGGCTCCCAGGACGCGGGGCTGACTGGAAGGTTCGTGGCGACTTAAAGGCTCCAATGGAAAACTCAAAACCAGCGCTCCCGGGAGGCCAACGTCACGAGCCTCCGTTGGGACCAATCCCCCCTAAGCGGCCTTCGACACCTAGGCCAATGGGCCCCCGCTCTTAGGCCACCTCCCATCAAATCGCCCTCTGATTGGTTCGTCGTTCCGGTCAGCGGCGTTGCCCCAGCAACCGGGCTATGGGAAGCGGAGGGACCTCCAGCCTTCTGAATCAAATTCTGGGGCTCTTCCCTCACCTGCCCTGCAGGTTTCCTGCACCATGTCGGTGCGGACTTTGCCGCTGCTCTTTTTGAACTTAGGTGGGGAGATGCTTTACGTCCTGGACCAACGACTGAGGGCCCAGAACATCCCCGGAGACAAGGCCCGCAAAGGTAAGAGGCCCCTGTAGCCTGCTCCGGCATCACCACGCTGAGTGCCCCATCCAGACCCTCAGCCTAGCCTTCCCCAACCCTCCCAGCCCCGCGCTCCCCACCCGCCCGCCTCAGCTCTCCTACCCAAGGCCAGACAGGCATCTGCCCCATCACCCCATTCCAACAGCCAGACCAAGGCCTCTGCGCACTTCCCTTTGACAGCCGTGTACCTTTCTCACAAGACTCAGCGCCCATGCAGTTGGAAGCCCTCAGGAGTCAAATTAATTCTCCAAAAGAGCGTTTCCCTACAGAGAAACCTAACACCTGCAATGGACATACTCAAAGTTCTTGAACCCTCGATTTTCCGGTCTCTTGAAATTTGCCCCCTTCCAAAAGTAGTTCCCAGCTGCCCAACTGGCAATATGCTTTTGGCTAATACCACCATCCTCTTCAACCCCCACGGAACAGAAGCTGATCCCCGCCTTGTTTCTGACCTCCCACATACGCTGAAGATTAACTGTGCTCGTTTCAGAAGCCATTTCTAGAAATGTTGTGTCCTAAAACAATATAGATAAGAATGAAAACATTTCTTTACGTTTGCAAGTGTTGGAAGGGAGGGCAATTGTGAAAATACTGGAAAGCTTGTAAATACAAAACTATGCCATATGTAATTTACAGAGAAACAACCACCTAGAACGCTCTGTCATACATTTTCTTCTCAGCAAACAACTTTGTTCACCACATTTCCTGGGATTAAGAATGAACTATTCTATGTCTAGGGAGTGATGTAGAAGTTTACATAAAGACAGTTGGCAGGAGCCCTGATGAAAACACTATTCTCTCTCAACAGTTTATGTACTCAGCTGAAGTTAAATATACACACTCAGGTAATTACTGTTGTGTCTGGTTGTGTGTAAATAGACAAATAAGATAATTCCCTACATCATTCCTTTCCATTCATTTGAAGCATTGCTACCAGAGGGCTTTATAAAATACAGAAGTGTCTAGTACCATCTCTTCTTAAAACCTGCAGTCTGCTTTCTACTTCCGTCTAAGTGGAGGCCAATCCTATGCAAGGCACATCTGTGCCCTTCCCGGTCTGATCCCCATCATTGCTTGATTCACACTTTGAGTCCTAATTGCACCAAAGTGTACGTAGGTCTTTAAACTATGTCCTTCATGATTCCGTGCCTGTGGTTCCTGCCCCTACATCCTTCCCCTGGTCTTATGCACCATTGACTGAAGAATCGTTGTCCTTCAGGAGGACTCCTTCCATGGGAAAAGGACTTCCTATGTTACGTGCTCACAGCGCCCTGTCCATGAGTCTCTCTACCTTACCACATGGCTGTTTTATACTCATCTGTTTACGTGTGTCTCCCTCATTGCTTGTCTTACTCATGTCTGTACATTTGTACTTCAGTGACTAGCATCCAACACCCAGAACAGAGTAAATCATTGTGCAGTAAAGGTTTAAGGACTGTAGTCCCAAGCTGAAGAAAAGGGATCTGCAGTTAAGAGCACTTGCTCCACTTTCAGAGGATCAGTGGTGCATTCCCAGCATCCACTAGGAAGTTTACAACCTGCACTTACGTGCATATACCCAGACACATACACATTAATAAAAATAAAAATTTAGTGGGGTGATCTCAAGAGGCAGAGGCAGGCAGATCTCTGTGAGTTTGAGGTCAGCCTGGTCTACAGAGTGAGTTCCAGGACAGCCAGGCACAGAGAAACCCTATCTTGCAAATAAAACAAAACAAAACAAATAAATAAATAAGCAAAATAAAATAAAAATTTAAAAAGCAAGAACTGTAGTCCTTAAACCAGACAGTTGGGTGTCTGAGGCAAGAAGATCACTGCAAGTTCAAGGTCAGCCTGGTCTACCTAGTAAATTCAGGCCAGCCAGTACCACATAGTGAGACCCTGTCACTATTTTGTTTTTCTGAGCAAGGGTCTCATGTAGCAAAGGCTGACCTTGAAATTCTGATCCCTCTGTTCTCACCACCCAAATGTTAGTATCACAGTTGTATGCCATTATACCCAGAAAAAAATGTTTAAGAGTGATAGTCTTTCCGGTTCACCTAGATTCAGTTTTATGAACTTTCGGCCATCTTTGGTAATTCGTTTTCATACACTCACTTGTTCAACAGTTTTTGGCAGATGTCACAGCATGTAAGAGTCTAGGGAGAAGTGGAATGAGCCTTTCCATACAGTTCCTGGAAGTGGGGCCATCAATGAGTCCAGTCCATAGCTAATTCTAAAACTCAAGACACATCTCTATAATGGCAACAATAAAATATTTGTTTCGCATTGTTGAAACAAGGTTCCTGAAATTCACTGAGTAGCATGATTTACCTGGAATTCTCAACGGTCCTCTTGCCTCAGCCTCCTAAGTGCTGGGATGGTAGGCACAAGCTCCACTTATAAGAACTGAAACAGTTTTTCAATTGTATCAGTAGTTCATTGATACACAGCTCTTCTAGCAAGCATATAGGTAACACTACCACCCAAATTTACAAGAAAAACCAAAGCTGCTTTGCTTAGGGTTGCATAGCTGCTGGGAGGAGTGAGTGATTGACAAGTCAAGGCCATGAGACTTCAGAGCATCTACTCCTAACCAGCTTGTCCCTAACTGCTGCACTATGCTGCCTTGCCTGAAGGGATTGTGAGGGATTTCATGGTGTGTGTGAGATCAGGAAGAGAGGGAAGGCTTTGAAACACACACACACACACACACACACACACACACACACACACACACGAGAGCTGATGTGCATGTGTGTATTTATAGCATATACCCATTGAGTTCCTAAAAGAAATGATGAAGGCCAGTTGGTGATGGCAAACACCTTTAATCCCAGCACTCAGGAGGCAGAGGCAGACAGTCCAAGGCCAGCTTGGTCTACAAAGCTACACAGAGAAACCCTGCCTCAAAATAAATAAATAAATAAATAAATAAATAAATAAATAAATAAATAAAGTAATATTCCATAAGAAATGATGAAGTAGTTGGCCAGTGAGGCCTTGTAGAAGAGAAAGACAGCAAAACACCATAAAATGTAAAAGCAAAGAAGATGGTGTCTATCCTACTCTTAGAGTTGATGTGGCTGCAGGAGCTAGAGCCAGCATCATTGTGACAGATGCCTATATACAAGCTTATAAAAAAAAAAAATACAGACAGACATAGCAAATTAATCAATTAATCATCGTGGATGTTTTGAAGGAAATCATATTTCTCAGAGCTGTTTTCATCTTACACAACTAATTGGTCTCCTGGAGGCTGCCCCTGTTCCCACAAGGCCAGTGGAGACATTGGGCTTTCTCTCACAATGCAGCCAAGAGTTTAGTGATGAACAGAAAGGAAGTGTGTTCTTGGTGGGGCTGCTTGTCAGAGTTGCACACTAAATGCCTTCTCATATTTTAAGCAATAGAGCAGGCAGTAAAAGCTGCCTTTTGCCTCACTTCTGTCCTCATAAAAGCCGTACAACTAAAACCCCGCTGCGTTTTGTTTACCATGCTTATTACAGGGGAGGAAACTGAGACACATGCCAGCATGACTGCCAAGTGGCTTTTTTGTTCTATTTGTTTGCTTGCGGTTTTGTTTGTTTGGTTGTTTTTTGTTTGTTTGTTTGTTTTGCTTTGTTTTGTTTTCCTGAGACATGTAGTACTGAAGGACTGAATAGCAGTGGCGTTCTGTTCTGATTTTTCTGGGTAAAATTTAGCCAGCCCAAGAACCCATGGGTCTACATCCCATGTAAAATATAACTGAAGGTGAATTGTCTCAAAATGAGTCGTCTGGAGAGTAGAAGACAGGGCTTGGGGTACCTACCCTGCCTCTTTAAAGAGGAAAATGGAGAGCCGGCAGCTCTCTATAGCCCTCTGCTGGTGCTGGGTGCCATTGCCTACTGGCGCGACACTACATTTCCTTGGGGGAAGGGGGTTGGGGTTCCAGTTCCGTTTTATCCACAGCAGGCAGAGTGTCACTGTCCCCACATTCATCTTCAAGAGGATGAAAACTCCCCATTTCTAGATAACTTCAAGCCCATGATGCTAATACCGCAGGGAAATAGAGGTGAATACAATGCCCAAGAAGAAAACAACTGCTTCAGGAAGGCCAGACCAGGGCCTGCTTCCCTTACACTCCCTCAAAAGTCTTTACCACCCTCCCCCAGTACTGGGAACTGGACTGAGAGCCTCCTGCACACTAGGTAAGCACCTCCACTGAGCTTTGTCTCCAGCTCACCTGATTTAGAGGTAGCATCTCACCAAGATGTCTTAGATTCATTCTGTAAGCCCAGCAGATCTTAAACTTTTGAACCTGCCTCAGCCTCCTGGGTAGCTAGAACTTCAGTCCTGTGTCACCAGACCCAGCTAAGCCCATGACTCTTGAGAGAAGATGGTAACTTCAAGGGGAATCTGACCTCCTAGCAGTACCCTCTAGTCTCCAAAGAGCTGTTTGCACTGTATGTTGAGGCCGTGCCAGTGAAAGCATACATAACTTCAGAAATCATTTCCAAGCAATATAGCAGCAAGTGTTTCCCAAAATGCCATTAGTTGTGAACCGCTTTCCACATGTGAATATGTGTAGAACTCTGTCTCTATCGGGAGGGGTGGGAAAGTGGGAGTTGAGGGGGGTAGACAAAATGTTCCTACTAATGAAATGAGCAGGGGAAAGTCAGTTTTCAGGGTTAGGGCAGAGATCAGGGCTACAACACTTGCCTGCTAAAGTATACAAGAGCCCAGGTTCAAGTTCAAGCCCAGCCCTGGGGGGAGAAAAATCATGCTGTTGAAAAGGAAACCCCCCCTTTTTTTTTTTTTTTTTTTTTTTTTTTTTTTTGTCCTTGGAATTTCTCTTCATTGAGGAGCTAGTGTTAAAAGTCTGCTTTGAATTATGTATGGCTTTTGGGAGAACAGGGGGACAATGTCTTACTCTGTAGACCAGCTCTGCCTGGAACTCACAGAGATCCACCTGCCTCTGCCTCCCAAGTGCTGGAATTAAAGGCGTGCACCACCACCACACCACCCAGCCAACTCTTATTTAAAAAAAAATAAAAAAGTTTCTAATTGAAAGTGCAGCATGTGCATAATACATTAAATTCAACAGGCTGGAGAGGTGGCACTGAATGTTCTTTTGGAGGACCCAGGTTCAATTCCCAGCACCTACATTGTAGCTCAAACTGTCTGTAACTCCAGTTCTCAAGGATGACCTCTCTTCGAGGCTCCAAAGGCACTAGGCACACATGTGATATACATACATGCAGGCACACACACACACACACACACACACACACACACACACAAATAGCCAGGCCATGGTATCACACACCTTTAATCCCAGCAGTAGGTAGGCAGAGGCAGGTGGATCTCTGAGTTGGAGGCCAACCTGATCTACAGAGTGAGTTCCAGGACAGCCAAGGTTACACAGAGAAACCCTGTCTCAAAAAAATAAAATCAATCAAACAAAAAAGACATGGAATTTAAATATACATAAAAAACACAAAACAAAAATTCAACAGGCCAAATATTTGTAAAACCTCCATGCAACTAATGTTCTTGCTTCCTGAACTGGTGTTTTCTTTTTATATGCTTCATATAGATGAATGGACAGAGGTGGACAGAAAACGAGGTATGCTATTTCTGGGCTGCATGTGTTCAGTCTGCGTTCACAGTTTCACTCAGTCGGTTGTTAGTGGGCTTTTAAAAGCCCTTCCCTAGTTCTAGGTAAGAACTAGGCGTGATTTCCTTCCTTCAGCTAAGACTTTGGAATGTTCTACTCCAAAGGAATAAACACATTGTGTAAGATGAAAACTCAGCCAACGCCAGCGCAGGGGCCACACTGCATCTGAGGGCCTCCCCAACCACCACCCCTTTCCGTTGTTGCTGTTGGTCCAAGCTTGCAGGGACAGCTGGGGCAGCAGCTCCACTCCTGGGTAGGTTGTCCTCTGCGGTAGTCCTTCTCATGCTGCCATGGAACCAGAGAGTTTGTTCCCTACGAGTGGCCCTGAGGTGTTCTCCTTAGGTACCTGTTGAGCAACTGAGGAAGATGGAAGCATGTGGCTGCATGACTGCCAAGAGTGTGGGCAGAAGGCATGGGATCATGCATGCACTGTTGCCTTATGTTCAGTCTTGTTTCCCCCTCACCCACAATAGCTGCAAACCTGGAAAGGCTGAGGCTCAGAGCGAGACCTCAGCTTTTCTCAGCCTTTCTATGTGGTAGATGCCTGCCTTCACTTGACACATGGGAATGGCTTATGCCTATCGTCAGCCATCCTCAATAGTTTAAATTCTCTTCTCACAGCAGATATGCCAGTTATGTATATTTATAATGCCTAAAAGCATACTGAGGGGTAAATATGGTCAAAGTAAATTATGTACACGTGTGCAAATGGCATAACAAACCCCATTATAATGATGCTATAATTATAGCATAATTAACATGCTATAAAAACTTTTGGGTTTTGTGCATAAAATGTATATATACTTAAAATATGAAAGGCCCACCAAAGGCATTTTGATATCTCTGATTTTAAATTAAAGGTTGTTTTCTTTTATCATTGAGAGAAAATTTTAGCATAATTACGTAGATTTTACATTATTTTGGAAGATAGCGTTTTTGACTTTGTAAATATTTTCCCAGTTGTGATAGAAATTTACTTAGGATGTGATATGGTAGAAAACAAAAACAACTATGAAAGAAAATAAATTTAAAACTAACAATGCCAGAACATGGAATGAAGAAAAGTCTGGAACTGGATAAGCAAAGACAAATAGGGTAAAATATCTATTTAACCAATTTTAGCCAGGCATTGGTGATGCATTCCTTTAATCCCAGCAGAGGCAGGAGGATCTCTGTGAGTTCAAGTCCAGCCTGGTCTACAGAGCTAGTTCCAGGACAGGCTCCAAAGCTACACAGAGAAACCCTGTCTAGAAAAAAGAAAAAAAAAAAAACCTATTGATGTTTAATAAGGATCAGGAGAAACAGAAACAAATAAGCTGAATAGATGTTTATTCAGGGAGAAATAACTTTCAACATAGACAGATGAACACCAGCAGGTTCCTGGTCCCAAGGATGCCTCTGGATGTACTCCTATCCCCGTGCTCCAAGCAAGAGAGCTCTCAGAGCCCCCCCCAGACTTAGTTCCCCCAGTTAACATCTGCCCCATCTCCACCCCCAATGGGCATGGTCTGTGCCACAGGTTCGGACAAAGTGAATATCTTACTACAAATACCTATTTAGCAAATTTTGATAACTAGATCTAAATATGATGTTTTATTGGATTACAACACTCTGAATCTATCCATATATATGTATATATATAATATGTACATATATGTGTATATACATATATATACATACATATACACATATATAATATATATACGCATATATATGTTTATCAGGATATAATGGCACACACTTGTAATACTACCACTTAGAAGGCAGAAGCAGGCAGATCTCTACATTTGAGGCCAGCCTGGTCAGCATAATTCCAGGCCAATCAGGGCTACATAGTAAGATGCTATTTTCGAAAGGAATAAAAAAAAAATAAGTCATGATGGTTTAGTGAGTAAAGGCACTTTCTCCTAAACCTGGCAGCCTGAGTTTGCTCTTTGAGACCAACATAGTAGGAGAGAACTGACTCTAGCAAACTGTCCTCTAATCTTTGTGTACACACACACACACACACACACACACACACACACACACACACCCCGCTACCTATATAATTAGGCTGGATGGTGGTGTGCTTTTATGTTTTAGGGTTTTTAAAAATATGTTTATTTTTATATGTATGAGTGTTTTTCCTGCATGAATGTGTGTGTATCATATGATACCCACAGAAGTCAGAAGAGGGAATTTGATCCTCTGGAACGGGAGTTATTGATGGCTGTGAGCCACCATATAGGTGCTAGGAACTGAACCTTCATCCTCTGTAAGATGGATGCTTACAGTGCTCTTAACCTCCAGCCCCTGGGGCATACTCTGAATCCTAGTACTGCAGAGGCAGAGGCAGGCAGTTAGCTGAGGGTTCTAGACCAACCTTGTCTACCTAGTGAGTTCCAGATTAGACAGGCAGGGCTACATACTCTGTCTCAGATAAATAATGTTTTACAAAAATAATAATATAATGAAACAGAACCTTTTCTAACTTCAACTTCATCATCAGAGGTGTCAGTTTATATTTTAAGTGTTCTCAGATTAAATTTTCCTCTTCAGTGGAATGTGGGTATGGGGATAATTTAGAGTTGCCTTGAGGCATCGAGTATAAAGTTCTAAGCCCAAAAGATTCAACCATTGTAGTCACGCAGAACATTCCCTGGCTTCTTTCTTGTAACCTTGGCTCCATAATGCGTATTTCCATAAACAAGTGATTTTTGGAGCAGGGGTAATTGGTAGAAACTGAATTGCTTTCATCAACATAATTATTTCATCAGACTAGGCTCAGAGGAGCCCAACTGAAGTGCTGGGTTGCTTTTATTATATTTCACAACCATCTTTTGACACTTCCCTTGAGCAATTTTTGGCCTGTCCTTTGATGCCTGGCAGAATTTCAGGTGTGAAGTGTGGATCTTGAGGGCTTTTCATGTGTGTAATTAGATCGCTGGAGCATATTTTAACATCGGTGTTCAAAAATAATCAGCAGACACTGACTTCATCATCTGTCTCAGTCCAAACTAGGAGGCTCTCATCAAGAGTTACCAGCCGTCCTGGTGTCCTCATGAAGAACCCCTCCCCTCCCCGCTTCATCCTCTTCATGATCAAATCTGACTCCCACTGCATCCCGCCTCCTGAAAAGGAGGCAAAGCTCATGTGAATGCCAAAAGCAAGCACCACCGTGGAAGGCTGGCCCCGGCAGGGGAAGGGATGTTGCAGCTGGAGACACATGTGCCCCTCCCTTCCACTATCAGAGTATTGAAACAGCAGACTCCAAAGAACTCAAATTTCCCGTGCTGTGCAGTAGGGAAAGATCATACAGCCCTGGCATCAACCAAAGGAGGAGCTTGCCTTATAGGAAAAGATTTCACACAGCTAAATTAGCATAAGCACATGATAGCCTCTGTTTCATCTTTTCTATAAAAGTTTAATGTTGCAGAGGAGACAAGAGAAAGTAGACTTTTCTCCCTGGTGTAGGCAAACTATAAATCCATTTACCATTAACAAGCTGAACTTCAGCCAGGCAGTGGTGGCGCACACCTTTAATTCCAGCACATGGGAGCTCTGTGAGTTCAAGGCCAGCCTGGTCTACAAGAGCTTGTTCCAGGACAGCCTTCAAAGCTACACACAGAAACCCTGTCTCGAGAAAAAAAAAAAAAAAAAAAAAAAAACAATAACAAGTTGAATTTCCTCATTTTTTTTATTTAATTTTAAAATAAATGTAAGTGCCTGGTAACAAAGGCAGTCTGCATGTCTGACTGAATCCACTACAGATGTAAATCTGATGCAGTGTGTATCTCTAGGGTGTGGCTCCTTCCTCTGCATCCCTGTGCTGTTCACTCTGGTGTACTGGGAGAGGAAGATGTGTCTGTCTCCACAGTCTCACAGAGATTGAACGGTGACAAGGGATCCCTGGATGCCAGGGCCTGGCCATGAAACCTCCATTTCATCTTTGGGTGCTCATGTGTGCCCTGCTGTGTCCACAGGGACTGACGCTGTTGTCCCCAGTTCTCAGTAGGTGAACATTGCTTAGGTCCTGATGCAAGAGCCATGGTGACACGTGGCTGTTTCACATCCCTGGGGAAAAGCTTCATTTTTCTTTTTTGTTTGCCAAAGTCAGTAACAATTGCCCTGGGGTTTTGTCGATTTTAGAACCAATTCATTTGAGACTAAGCTACTTTCCTGGATCCTGAGTGAGCTCAAAGACCCTAGCGAACTGACTTCCATTTGTCAGCTTTCCCCCAGTCACAGCTGACAAGGAGTGGTTTAATGTGGCTCCTTCCTTCTTGGAAACTCTTCCCTTGTTCTCTACTGAGGCTCCCGAGGCTTTTTTTTTTTTTTTAATCTGTCCCTTGCAGATTCTGGTGAGAAAAAAGTTAGAAAACCCGGTTTACTGCAGATACTTGCTTGTTTCTATCTAAAGGATTCCTGTGTCTCTGAGCATCCCTGCGGAAGGTGTGTTATCTGGCTGTGCCAGGCTGGAGTCCTCAGATGTGAGGAAGTCTGCCCTGGCCATGGGCAACCACATGGTAGCTTATAACCATCTATAGTGAGATCTGGTGTCCTCTTCTGGCCTCCAGGCATACATGCAGGCAAACTACTGTATACACAATAGAGAAATAAAAGCTTTAAAAATTTAAAGGTATGAGCTGAAAGGATGGCTCAGCAGTTAGAAGCACAAATAAATATGTACCACTTTCCCCGAAGACCAGACAGAGTTCAGTCTCTGGTAACTCCATCAGCTGGATTACAGCTGTAACTCATCTCCAGTGGGATTCAACTCCTCTGGCCTCTGTTTGGCACCTGAACTCAAGTAACTCAGTTGTGTAACTATATGTTCTTGATATCGGTATATACTCATCTTTACACTGAAATTGCTGGTTGAAGAATAATCTGGAGGGCTAGAGAAATGGCTCAGTAACTAGCGCGTGCACTGCTGTCACAAGGATCCAAGTTCGGTTCCCAGGACCCATGTCAGGTGGCTTACAATCGTCTTTAACAGTTGTCTTTAATTCCAGCTCCAGGAAGTCAGACCCCTCCTGCCTCTGAGGGCACCTGCACACACACCCACACAGACACACAATTTTTTTAAGACAAGGTTTCTCTGTGTAGCCCTTGGCTGTCTTTGAACTCACTCTGTAGACCAAGCTGGCATCAAACTCAGAGATCACCAGCCTCTTCTTCCCAAGTGTGAGTGCTGGGATTAAAGGCCCATGACCTTTACCACCACTGCCCAGCTTTTAACTTTTTTCAAGCCTGATCTAGGCCAGTGGATGGCCCAGCAGGTAAAGGCACCTGCTCAGACCCTGACAAGCTGGGTTCAGTCCCCGGAGTCCAAGGAAACATACAAGAAGAGAACAGATTCTGTAAAGTTGCCCTCTGACACACATTTACCCCCCCCCACACACAATGACATTATAAAAAATATTCAGAACAATCTATGCTTATCTGTACCTGCTGCTGTTCTCACACCAGAGCAGTGCAAAATATTCACATGAACAGAGCTGAGGCCATGTTGGTTTGCACAAGTCTTTAATTCTCAACATGTGGAAGTGTTCACTGCCCCAACAGGATGGGATCTATTCCAGTGTTGTGAAATTGATACCATAGTTTGAAGAGGGATTAGGGCATGCTAACATGGAACAATCTGAAGGGCATGTTTGGTAGATGCTCTAAAAACAAATGTCTTAACCATTATGTATAGCATTCTGCCTGCATGTATGCCTGAATGCCAGAAGGGGGCACCAGATCTCATTTTACATGGTTGTGAGCCACCATGCGGGTGCTGGGAATTGAACATTGAACACAAGTCCTCTGCAAGAGCAGCAACTGCTCTTAATGGCCGAGCCATCTCTCCAGCCCACGTTCTCTTTTGTTTTTGTTGTTTTGTCTTTTGAAACAGGGTTTCTCCGTGTAGTCCTAGCTACCCAGGAACTCTGTAGACCAGGCCTGTCTTAAACTCAGAAATCCACTTGCCTCTGCCTCCTGAGTACTGGGATTAAAGGTGTGCACCACCACCACCCAGCAAAGCAGTACTTTTTTTTGTAAAGAAAGATTTTTCCAGAGGCTGGAGAGGTGGCTCGATGATTAAGAGCACTGGTTGCTCTTCTAGAAGATCCAGATTCAATCCCCAGCATCCACATGACAGCTCACACCTGTCTGTTACTCCAGTTCCAGGGCCTTGACACCCTCACACAAATGTGCATGTAGGCAAAACACCAATGAACATTAAATTATAAATTAATTAATTAATTAATTAGAAAAAGAAAAAGATTTTCCTTATCAAGCCATATAATGGTGGGGAAAGGGATGTGTAACACCTGAAGCCGTCTTCTAATGTCATCAGCATGGACAGTTGCCCTGGAAGGTTGTCATAGGGCATCCCTGAGCCCTGCTCTCTACTGGACCCCTGGGCTTCTGCCCAAGGGGCTGATCCCACCAAACGCTCCAGCTCTGTCTATGCCTAGCTCTCACCCATAGACAGACAGCACACCTATACACAGCTTCTTGTGGTACCTTCCTTGCTCATCTGGATTCTCTCTTCTCTCTACAGTTCTGAATGACATCATCTCAACCATGTTCAACAGAAAGTTTATGGAGGAGCTGTTCAAACCCCAGGAACTGTACTCTAAGAAGGCCCTGAGGACTGTGTATGACCGCCTGGCTCATGCCTCCATTATGCGACTGAACCAGGCCAGCATGGATAAGGTGAGCAGACAGCTGCTTAGTCAGTTTAGCTGCTGCTCTCCTACCTGTTGTAGATGGTCCTAGGTGGGATCAAATAGGATTCCAAATGCAGAGGTGTCTTGGGAGAAGCAAGTACATGTAACTATGAGTTGCAGGAGCTGGAGAGATGGCTCAGAGGTTAAGAGCACTGGCTGCTCTTCCAGAGGTACTGAGTTCAATTCCCAGCAACCACATGGTGGCTCACAACCATTTGTAATGAGATCTGGTGCCCTCTTCTGGCCTGCAGACATACATGCAGACAAAAAACTGTATACATGATCTATAAAAAAGTATATGAGCTGTAGTCAGATCTCAGGTTGAGAGATCTCAGACGGCGTCTGCACCTAACCCCTCTGTTGCGCTTCACTTGCCCAAAGAGAGCCCTACTCTCATGTCCCTATTTATGACATGAGCATGTGCTGCCCCAGTTTAAGTACTCCACCCCCACCCCCAGCTTTCCCTCTGGGAAGAGGGTAAGAGAGGGCAGTTAGGAAGACCAGTGTGAGCAAAGAGTGACATGCATGTGTGCAGATGTCACAGTGAACCCCCTTAATATAAACAATAAATAAACCCTAACAATAACAATTAGGCATTAGCCTGGTGATAGTGGTGCATGCCTTTAATCCCAACACTCAGAAGACAGCGGCAGCTAGAGTTCGAGGCCAACCTGGTCTACAGAGTGAATTCCTGGGCAGGTTATACAGAGAAACCCTGTCTTTAAAAAAGAAAAGAAAAATCCCAGAATAGCCAGGGCTACACAGAGAAATCCTGTCTTAAAAAAATAAATAATAAAAATTTTTAAAAATTGTCAACTTACCAAATTCAGAGAAACCATCATAGCCAAGAGGGACCCAGAAAAGCCTGGCAGCCAAATGTATTGTTGTGTTCTGGAGGGGACCCTGTAGCACAGTGAGATATTAGGGTCAGGGAGATGGCTCATTCACAAGTGCTTGCCTCACAGACATGAGCACATGAGTTTGATCCCCAGAACCAAATGCTAGGCATGGTGATATGCATTTATAATCCCAGTACCAGGAGACAAAGACAGAAAGATGTCTGGAGCTTGAGACCAGCCAGCCTAGAGCTCCAGGCCAGTAAAAGACCCTGTCTCAAAAGAGATGGATGGCACACCAAAGGACGACACCGAGGGCTAGCCTCTTGCCTCCACTGGCACACACTTACACATAATAGTCTAGGCCATCGGGGAGACACTAAACTAATGAGATAGCATTTTACATAGCCCAGGTCAGCCTTCAGCTCACTATGAAGCTAAGGATGGTCTTGAACTTCTGATCCTCCTACCTCTACCTCCCAAATGGTAGCCTTGCACGACCACATCTGGTTATGTTGTGCTAGGAATCAAACTCAGGACTTCCTGCATGCTAGGTAACTTCTAGTAACTGAGCCACATCCCCACACCCCAAGTTCTGGGACTAGAGACTATTATGAAGTTAGGCTTGAATAACGGTAATTATTTTTCAATTTGCTCCATTATATGAACTTTTTTTTTGAAGTCCTGGATACTAACACTAGGTGGTGGTTACAAAGAACCAACATCTGTTGCTGGTACTGGAAGCCTCAGTGAGACACCAGTTTAGCTGAGCCTTTACCTCTTGTTGTCTCCCTTTGGGACAGTTACTTCACCCCTGTCTGTCTTCTCTCTAACATTCGAGGAGCTCCTTCCTCAGCCTGCCCATCTTCTACTTGGCATCATGGCTACCCTCAGACCTCTGGTGGAGCCTAAAATCATCAGAAAGGTGGTGGGGAAATTCATCGCCAATGGCATCAGTTAGCATAGGACATCTTAAGCGCCACTGATGGAAATAAAAGGTACTGACAAGATGTCAAAAAGATTGATGGTGCAGGTCATTCGTGGGGATTGAACCGCAGAGCCTCGCCCATCCTAGGCAAGTGCTTTACCACTGAACCACCTCCTAGCCTAATGGGGCCGGCCCAGCATTGGTTACAGAGGTTGCAAGCAAAGAAAGCGCCTGATTCTCAATGTCTTCCAGAAACCCCCAGTCCACAGTGTCAAAGAAGCTGGACGTGCTGCCACTGCCAACAAATACCCCATGTGAGGCCTGCTCATTGTGTTTTCTCTAAGGAAAGCCTGGCTGACCATTAGACCCATGTGCTGTGGAGAAAATGAATGAATGTGTACTTTCTATTTAACACAAACAAACAAACAAAAATCACCTCCTGCATTTAAAAATGTGGCCAACCTGGGTTGTAGTGCATGCCTTTAATCCCAGGACTTGGGAGGTGGAGGCAGGGGTATCAGAAGTTAAGTATTGCTCTGCTCAATAGTGAGTTTCATCTTCTGTCGCAAAACTGTATCAATTAATTCGTTAATTAAAAACTGAAAGTGGAGGCTAAAGAGATGCTCAGAGCATACACTTGAGCATATAACTTCAGAGCATTTACTGCCCTTGCAGAGGACCCAAGTTCAGTTCCCATGTCAGGTGGCTCAAAGCCACCTGTAACTCCATCTCCAGGGGAAAACGATGCCTCTGTCCTCTTAGGGCATCAGCCATCATGTATATTTCCCTATATATAGATACATGCACATAATTTAATTTTATAATTTTAAAAAATTAAAAATAAAAATGGAAGTAGGGCTGGGAATTTAGCTTAGTTAGTAAAATGTTTGCATAGTGTCTTAATCAATGTTTATTGCTGTAATGAGACACCATGACTGTGGCAACTCTTACAAGGAAAACATTTGGAACTGGCTTTCAGAGGTTTAGTCCATTAACATCATAGCGGGAAGCATGGCTACAGGCAGGCACTTATATGGTGCACAGACACACATCCAGGCAAACACACATGTACATGAAGTAAAAATTTTGGAAAAAAAATGAACAGAGAGGTACTTAAATGAGGATCCTCCCAAGTCCAGGGCCCAGGGCAGAACTCCCGGCAGCCACTACCATGTCTTGTGTATCCATCAAGAAGACTTGGAGGATGCACAGGATGACCAGAAGCCATGGTTTGCCCGGGGATTTTCTGGCCATTCCTTAGTTACTTCACCACCCCCTCGAATTCTCAGAAGTGCTCTGACTTGAGTGGCAATCCATGTGGTCACCTGAGCTGTGTGTGACAAGCCGGTGTGGTCGCCTGAGCTGTGTGTGACAAACCCACGGCTGCTTTGCTCAGGTTCTGATCTGCTTTTATGACCCCATCTGTTCTGTGTGTGGGTTGACAGCTCTATGACCTGATGACCATGGCTTTCAAATACCAAGTGCTGCTATGTCCACGCCCCAAGGATGTGCTGCTGGTCACTTTCAACCACCTAGACTCCATCAAGGGATTCATCCAGGACTCCCCAACTATCCTGCATCAAGTGGACGAGACCTTCCGGCAGCTGACAGAAGTAAGCATGTCACCAGCCTGCCATCTCACTGCCACAACCCTTCTTCTCCGCCAACTATAAGATTGGCTCTATAATTACAATGACAGGGTCAAAGTTTGCCACTCTCCTAGGACATTCTAAAATCCCACCGCTGCCTACTTTGTAACTACAATGGGCAATTACCATCTTATGATCTCTATGCAGCCCTTGTAGAGGGAAAACAATGGCAAAGAACTTCCTCCGGTGTCTGAAATGCATGTCTGTGGCAAGCAGGGTCTGTTCTGCTTGGGAGGGTGGGTGCTGACACTCCTGCTGCCAAGGTCCCTGCTTATCTGAGTCCCACCTCCGAGCACCCCAGCCCTGCCTGTCCCCACAACTCAGCCCATGGTGGAAAGTGCACTGCTCCCTCTGCCTTGCCTCGCAGATATATGGGAATCTCTCTGCTGGGGAGTTCCAGATGATCCGGCAGACACTGCTCATCTTCTTCCAAGACCTGCATATCCGAGTAAGTGCCTGGGATGCCTGTGGGTGGATGCTGCGCTGGCCACAAGCCAGTCATCCAGAAAGACCAGGAGCAGGATTTCTCCCAGCCAGTGATGCCTGTCACACTTAGAATCTGTGACTGTAAGCATTCTGGTGATAGAGTTCAGCCATTTCCCCCACCTCCACTGAGCTTCTCTGAATGTGGGTTTATCCTTTGCTTCTACAGAAGAACTGTGCTGTTCAGGTACCAGTCTGGCCTCAAAGCTTTTCTCAAGCTTCCCACCTTAAGTGTCCCTTCATCAGACCCTGTCACGTGGCTGCACTCCTGCTCACCTTCCCTGGGCCTTCCCCTAACTCTCCCTCCACCTATCTCCAAGCCCCCCTCCCCACTTCACCCATCTACCTCCTGAAATCATGATCAAGCCCACTGAGCCTATAATTCCATGTCTGCAACTGAACTATTGCCCAAAAGCCAAGTGTGCCTGACTCCCTGGCTTCTGTTGAGGACACTTCCTTCCCACCACTCACTTGGCCCAGAATCAGTGTCAGATTGACTCTCCATCCTTCATCTGTCTGTCTTCTAACGTGCCTAGGGTTTGCCCTGCCTGTGGCTCCGCCCTGCTCTCCAAGCTGCTCACACATTAGCTTAGGGTCACATACTCACATACTTTTTTTTTTTTTTTTTTTTTTTTTACATTTCTGTGACCATGACCAAGTCTCTGTGTATGCTAAGCAAGTTTCCTGCCACTGAGCTACATCCTTAGCCCTCATTCATTTCCTGCTGGCTCTTGTCCCCGAAATCTCTCTCTCTCATTGTACCATGCCTACTCCAAACAGTTCTATACCCTAACCCTCAAAAACGCACTTCTGAACTTATGTGGGGCGCGGGGAGTGGGGTGGGGGGTTGGGGGTGGCTCTGCCAGATGGAGCAAGTTCCTTCCTAAAGTTGAGCCAACTGCAGTGAAAAGATGGCATGCTATAGCAAAACCAGCCGTGGCCCTGTGCTAGACAGTACCAGCTGCAAGCTGAGCCCTTCACCCTGAGCCAATCACTGCTCTTGAATCCTAGCTTCTTTACCTGAAAGTGGAAATGACAGTGTGTAATTGGGAGTTTGCTGGAAAAACCCAGTGCAGGGACATATGTAATGTACATGTGTGTGCTTATATGTGAATTCTATAGAATACTTCTACAAAGGATTTGTGATAAACTGGTCATGGTGCTGCCTCCTGAAGTGAGGGACTGTGGAGGACAAGCAGAATAGAGGGACATAGCCCCTTCTGCACCTTTGAGACCTCATACTTATGCATACATGAAAACCAAATTCAAAAAGAGGACTAGAGTACGGTTCATGCCTGAGTATATTTCTCTTCCAGGGGAGGGATGATAAATAGATTTCTGCTCTAATGCCAATTTTATTTTTAACCTTCATGAATAAATTCATTGTATTAGCTATGGATGGAGCAGGAACAACATGAATATAAACTGAGATCTCTAATGTTTGTGGGTGAAAATACAAAAATATGAAGGTACAAGCAAGATTAAATTTTGCAGCAGATTTAACATCAATTTGAACATGCTGAAAATATCACTTAGTAATGTTAGCAGGACTATGCCTATTTAGGTGTATTTTATGGATTGCAGTAATATAAACAGCCATATTGATTTCTCAGTTGTGAGGAGATAAAATTCATTGTAATGAAAAGACATGCCTAATAATTCTATAGTGATCTCATTAAAATGTATTAAACAACTAAATATATTGGGCTTTAATTGCTAAATGGGTAAACAAGGAAATATCAAAATCACAGCCAGTCATGGCAACACATGCCCCTAATTCTCCACTGGGGAGGTAGTAGAAGCAAGAGGAACAGGAGTTCAAGGTCATCCTTAGCTATGTATCTAGCCCTGGGGTGTGGGGATTTGGAGTGTGGATGAATCACACAGCTTGGCAATCCTCTGCCAATGATCTGAACATCTGGGCTGGCTTCCCGTGTTTGGTCTTTAATGGTGTTTCTGTTCTGCTGCAACTTGTGATTGCCTATACAAATTTTCTGTTTTCAAAATAGTCTTGATAGATTTTAAATTTGTTAGCAAAACCAACTAAATGGAGAAAACACAGTTCCTCACCAGGGACTCTTACTTTTTTAACCAAAGCAAATATAAAACTATATGTCCAGTGCCACATTTCTATATCAAGAAACTGCATGAGGCATTGTGGATGCGGCCAGGTCCTGACCTGGTACACAGGGACCTCAGCAGAGTCTGATCTTGGACCACTTCTGTTTAGGCTCCTCAAGAGTTAGTTACAGCTGGGCGGTGATGGTGCATACCTTTAATCTCAACACCTAGGAGGTAAAGGCAAGCGGATCTCTGTGAATTTGAGACCAGCCTGGTTTACAGAGTGAGTTCCAGGACAGGCTTCAAGGCTACACAGAGAAACCCTGTCTTGAAAAATTAAAAATAGTTACACCGTTCTTCTTCAACCCTCTGGAGACCCTCCAAAGCTGCTCCTGAAGGCCTGGCTCCTCTAGCCTCCCCCTGACATCTCACATTCTTGCATTCCACAAGTGTTCCTTACACGTATACTTCATTCCTCTTCTTGGGAAGGCTTCTACCCTGGAGCATAGGCTAGTAAATGTTTATTGACTGCCTTCTGAATGCCAGGTACTGCTCTGAGTGTCTGAGGTACTTAGATGAACAAAGCCAAGCTCCTGGATTGAAGAGGTCTTAATAGGAAGCCAGAAGAACAAATAGATCATGTTCCTATACTGAAACTTCTAGGAAAGTGATGGTATGGAGGAGCATTATAAGGGCAGAAGGATGGATTAGGTCAGCACTACCCAATAGAACCACTGTAGACCTATGCTGGGATAGAAGAGTAAAGAGAGGAAACACAAAGGAGAGTGTGGTCAACTCTCCATAAGAGAGTCAAGACAGTCTTCCTAGGGCTGGAGAGGTGGCTCAGCAGTTAGTAACGCTGGCTGTTCTTTCAGACGACCCAGTTTGAGTCCCAGCACCTGCAGGATGGCCTCTTGAGTGCTGGCATTAAATAAATGTGCCACCACACCTTGCCAGTCTGTAATCATTTTAGATTTTGTTGTTGTTTTAATAATTGTCATTTTATTTTAAGAGATTATAATTACATTATTTCTCTCTTCCCTTCCTCTAAACCCTTCCACAGACCCCTCCTTGCTCTCTTGGCCTCTTTTTCACTAGTTCTTGTTACACATATATATGTACAGGTATAGTAATATACATGTATATTACAAAATACATCCTGCTCAGCTTGGATAATGTTGCTTGTGTGTGTGTTTTCAGGGCTGACCCTTTGGTATTGGATCACCAATTGGCACGCTGTTCCCTGGGAAAGGTCTTTTTTTTTTTTTTTTTTTTTTTTTTTTTTTTTAGAGACAGGGTTTCTCTGGCTTTGGAGACTGTCCTGGATCTAGCTCTTGTAGACCAGGCTGGTCTCGAACTCACAGAGATCTGCCTGCCTCTGCCTCCCAAGTGCTGGGATTAAAGCCAAAAGTCTTATTTCTCCTGCAGTTCTTTGTGTAGGGTTGAGGCCTCATGGGGTCACGTGTTTCCCCCTACCCCCAGTTCACTTTAGCATGTCCATTTTCTTTGTCCTTGTTCAACCCTGGAGTACACTTCCAGGACTTGGCAACTCCCAAGCCTGGCCTCTTCTCTGCAGGCAGGGTTAGTCAGGACAGCAAGCAGCCTCTGCAGCACCCACTATTAGGCACATGAAAAATGAGGCAGAACTCTGGTCCTAAAGATGGTCAGCATCAGGAAGTTCTAGCCACCCTGGAGGTGATGGTCTTAAAAGGCCTCCCCTCATCCCCCAGCCCTTGGCCTGGACTCCCTGGAGTTACTGAAGATGGATGCCTCCTGCCTGCAGCTCTTTTCAAAGGTTCCTGCCCAGTGGCCAGTTTTGGTCAGGTGGTCAAGTCTGCTGATATCTCATACAGCTCTTGGGGAACCAGCACCCTAAGAAAGTGACGGGGGGGGGGGGGGGGAAGAAATGTGTTTTGCCTTTTGTATGTCTGTGTGTCACATGCATGCCTGGTGCCTGAGGCCGGAAGAGGGAATATAATCCTCTGGAAGTGGCAGACAGTTGTGTTCTTACAGCTGAGCCTTCTCTACGGCCCCCAATGCCATTTTAAAAACAAGCTTTTGAGCACGATGTGGTGGCACACGCCGTAATCCCAGCACTCGGGAGGCAGAGGCAGGAGTTCTAGGCCATCCTCAGCTACATATCAAACGCAAGTCCATCCTTGAAGGGCTACATGAGACCCTGCCTTAAACAAAAAGAGTTAGGAATGATGGTGCAGGCCTTTAATCCCAGCCACTTGGGAGGCAGACACAGGAGGATTTCTGAGAGGTCAAGACCAGCTGGTATATAGGGAGCTCCAGGATAGCCAGACTATGTAGAGAGACACTGTCTCAAAAAGCAACAAAACTCAAGTCAGGCATTCATTGTAGGTGAGTTACATGGCAGAGGGTAAATAAGAAATATGGGTTAATTTAAAATGTAAGAGTTGGCTAGTACCTGGTGGTAGTGGCACACACCTTTAATCCCAGCACTTGCCAGGCAGAGGCAAACAGATCTCTGTGAGTTCGAGGCCAGCCTAGTCTACAACATGAGTTCCAAGACTTCCAGGGCTGTTATGCAAAGAAACCCAATCTCAAAGAGGAAAAACAAAGAGCTAGTAACAAGCCTGAGCTATCGGCTGAGCATTTATAATTAATAGACTCTGAGTGTTTATTGGGGAGCCAGTAGTCCCAACAAAAAACTCTGACTATAAGGCATGATGGCAAATGCCTTTAATTCCAGCACAGAGTGAGTTCTAAGACAGCCAGGGCTACACAGGAAGAAAAACAAAACAAAACAAAACAAAAAAAAACCTGTGTTGGAAAAGAAAAAAGGAAAAACAAAATACAAGACATACAAGACAAATGTTTGTGGATATATGCACACGTTTTTGTGTTTTGTGCATGTATGTATATATTCATATGCATGCAAGTGCATTTGTGTATATGTGTACAGTTAGAGGACAGAAGTGGATATGTGGACTGTTTCTCAGGAGACATCCAGCTCGTTTCCTGTTATTGGTTCTTTTGTTTGCTTGGTTGGTTGGGACTTTTGTTTGTTTTTGTTTTTGTTTTTGAGACAGGGTATCACTGTGCAATTCTGGTTAGCCTGGGAATTCCTATATAGACCAGAATGGCCTTGAATTCACAGAGATCCACCTGACTCTGCCTCTTAAATACCATGCCCAGTTCTCTACCTTGTTTACTGAGAAAGGGATTCCCGTTAGACTAGGCTGGCTGGCTAGCAAGCCCTAGGGACCTGCCTGTCTTCACCTGCAGTTACAGGCATGTACAAATTTAGGCCATTGGTCAGCATCCATTTGTCCTAAGCATCTGTCTCTGTCCTTGGATGGGCAGAGCCCTCTAGCAGCAGCGGCAGACGGGATGCTGAGTACTCATCTTCTTACAATAAAACTAGAGGTGACAAAGGACACTAACTCAGTAGCTTGCTGCTGGGTCTGGGAACTTGCATATGGGAACTGTCAGCACTTGCATATGGGAAATGCAGGAGTCAAAAATGTGGTTGCATCTGGTCATGGTCTGGCAGGCAGCAGAGAGCCAGGGGTTTTAAGGAAGGTACATGGTTGCTGAGGAGTCCAGAAGAGTGTCTTCATCAGTAGGATAGAGAGTGAGCTCAAAACAGATAAGGCAGGAGATGATGGTCTGCAGTGAGGAGCAGCAGGTAGGGTGGAGAGGAAGACCAGGCACAGTGCGTTACGTTGGCATGGCCTGGCCCCCAAGTAGATCAAGGAAGGTGACTGAAGGTGGCTCAGATTGCTAGCGTGGTGGCCTGGTAGTGGTGCTGAGATTGGAAATTCTAAAGGATGAGAGAGTCTAGGAAAGACAAAGATGGGCATTTTCCTTACTAGGGGGAGTTACAGGAACATCCAGTGGAGCCAGCTTTCTCCTTTCTGCTAAACTCATATTCCTTCCTCACAGAATCTGAAAGTGAAGAATTCCTTAAAAGGTCGTTCACCCACCTCCGACCAAACCAGTCTCCCCATCCCCTCAGAGCACCACTTGTGCCCGCTTATCTCCACTTCCTGGAGCATCGTACACAACACCTGCTTCCTCCAGGCCCCAGCATCCCCAGTCTGCCATTGTTCCCTTCAGTGAACTGCCATGCTCAAGTATACTATGTGGGATGTCTGGCTTGGTGGTGTGTCTTAGTTACTGTTCTGTTGCTGTTGTAAAACACCATGACCAAAGCAACTTACAAAAGAAAGCACTTACTTGGGCCTAGGGTTTCAGAGGGCCAAACTCTATGATGGCAGAGTGAGTAAAAGAACAGCTGAGAGCTCACATAACACAAGGCAGAGAGAGTGAGCACTGAGAATCACACGAGCCTTGAAACCTCAATGCCGGCCCCAGCGACACAGCTCCACCAAGGCCATGCCTCCTCCAACGAGGCCACATCTCCTAATCCTTTCCGAACAGTTCCAACAACTAGGGACCACGCAGTTAAGTATGTGAGCCAATGCACATTCTCATTCAGACCACCACATGGTATTTTTATGTGTATAATTGAGCCCTGGGTCCAAATAGGCCTTTTCCTATCTTCCTTTCTAGCTCTAGAGTGTGGACCAGGCCTCACCATGCTCAGTAAGTCCTCCAAACTAAGCTACAGCCCCAGTCCTCCAAACAGACTAATAAAGAGAATTAGCCGCCATTTATTGAGCACGTACTGTGGGTAGGCTCTGCCTGTTCCCCATCCTTGATGTGACGCCTTATACATGCTAAGCCAGTGTTCTGCCACTGACTTGTATTCCCAGATCATATGTTTTATACATTTTCCTCATTTTTGAAACAGGAGAACATTTGAAGGGCTCAGGATCAATCTCAGAAGTCATCCTATGGTATGGAGCTGGAGAAGTGGTCCAGCCGTTAGGAGCACTGATTTTAGGAGCAGTGATTTTAGGAGCTCATCACCACTTATAACGCCAGCTCCAAGGGACCCACTGCCTTCTTCTGCCCTCCACCAGCACCCACGTGCATATGTGCACATACACTTATGTACACATATACATAAATGAATATGAATATGTATACCTATATGAAGTTATTGTGTGGATGAAGCCACTCTGCACCTGCATATCCATTATGGTATGTCCCTCCCTTCATGTTACAAGCTCAAACCACTGCCCACTGTTAATCCTCAGAACATTTGTATCCATAAAAAATACCAGAAAAATTATACCAAACATATATATATGTATATGTATATATATATATATACATATACATATATATATATTTTTTTTCTCTCCCCAGGTATCCACATTTCTAAAGGACAAAGTTCAAAATTCTAATGGTCGCTTTGTGTTGCCAGTGTCTGGGCCTGTTCCCTGGGGAACTGAGGTTCCTGGAGTCATCAGGTAAATCCTCAGTGGTAACTGCCCAGCAGTGTTCCAGGTGCCAGGAACACAGAACGTGCCCAGGCCAGGGACTGCAGCACTACAGAGCTCCTCAGGCTCTGCTTATCTGCCCCTTCTTCAGTAAAAGCTCAGTTATACGGAGGTCAAGGATCTAAGCCCAGTTTTTTCACTTGAGTGGAGGATGCTTGGGGCCAGCCACCTACTTCCTAGGTCCATCTCCTCATCTCTTAAGTGGTTGCTTGAGAATAAATGGCCACACTCTGTGCTTACGCAGCTCTTGTGCCTCTGCCCAACTGTCATAATTATCTTCATCTCCCGCCCCACCCCCACTTGGTTTTTTCGAGACAGGGTTTCTCTGTAGCTTTGGAGCCTGTCCTGGAACTCACTCTGTAGACCAGGCTGGCCTTGAACTCACAGAGATCCTCCTGCCTCTGCCTCCCGAGTGCTGGGGATTACAGGAGTGCACCACCACTAACCAGCTTGTCTTTATCTTTTGTTTGGTTAGTTTTAGGGGCCCTGGGACTAGAACCTATGGTCTTACACATGCTAAGCAAGTGTGCTGAGCTGCACCCCAACCTTGCTTCTTTACCTCCAAAAAGGGATTACATTCCTCTTTGTCCTGCTGTGAGCACACGATAAGGTGGCCTCTGAGATCGGCCAAGTCCAGAGAATGCCCGACATGTCATCCTTTGTATTTCAGAGTGTTCAATGACAAAGGGGAAGAAGTAAAGAAGATAGAATTCAAGCATGGTGGAAACTACGTGGCTGCACACAAGGAAGGTTCTTTTGAGCTTTATGGAGACAGAGTCTTGAAACTGGGAACTAACATGTAAGCAGATTCTCCCTGTGAATGAACTTGAGTCCACCCAGGTCACTTCATTAAAACAAACAAAACCCCATGCTTCTGCTCTGAAAAACCCCTGCTGACTATACTGAGGGTGTGGTCCAGTTAATGGGACACTGCCTGGCACACATGAAGCCTGGAGTTCTATCCCCAGCACCACATAAGAGGGCATAATGGCACAAGCCAGTAATCCCAGCATTTGGGAGACAGAGGCGAGGGGATACAAGTTAGCAGGTCATGTGGGCTACTTGGTGAGTTTGAGGCCAGCCTAGAGTACATGAGAGCCTGTCTGGAGACAAAACAAAATAAAACCCATTAATCTCTGGAGCCATTCCCCAAATATAATGCATGCAGAGCTCTGACATTTAAATACTAAGGATCCCTAGGAATATTTCCATAGGCACAAAACACAATCTTAAGTGACCATGGCCAGTGTCTGTTTATGGTGGAAGGCCACACAGCCTCTCTGTAATATTAGCCATGTCCTCAGGGCTATTCTTTTGTTTGTTTGTTTGTTTGTTTTTCAAGACAGACTTTTTCTGTGTAACAGCCCTGGCTGTCCTGAAAGTCCCTTTGTAGACCAGGCTGGCCTCGAACTCACAGAGATCCACCTGCCTCTGCCTCCCAAGTGCTGGGATTAAAGATGTGTGCTGCCACCACCACCCAGCCTCAGTGCTATTCTTTCCTGGCCTTTTCTTGGGGAAGAAGTAAAACATGAGCAGTCCACAACTCAGGTGAGTTTTATAGTCACAGCATCTTTCTGGGTGACAGTGAACATCTCAATAAAAGACAATAACTATGCTTACCAGTTGGAAGGAAGTCAGTGAAGCGGGCTGCATAACAGCACCATTTTCTGTTGCCACCAGGTACAGCGTGAATCGACCCCTGGACACCCATATGTCTGCAATGTCAAAGAACTTGGCCTCAAAGACACAGGTGAGCTTCTGCCCTCCCCATTTCCATTTTTCTCCCTGCTTCTTTCTACAAATGGCATCTGCATGGGCAAGGGGGGGGGACTCTGGCTTTCAGAGCTAGTCGACTTTACCCTCACTGTTTCCAGTCTTCCCTGCAGCCTTACATGTACACGGGCTTTTAATTGTAGCTTTGTTTGGAGCCTTCCAGTGATCTGACTAATTAGGTAATTTTGGGATTGGTTCACCACCATAATTAAGTAGGTGCCACATACCAGGACATGGCAAATCCCAGAGCCACGAGGCCTGTGGCTGGCAAGTCCAACATGAGTGCGAATTCGGATATCAAAGCATCCCTCTTCAACGCTTCCTGGTTTTAAGAATGTGGTACCCACCTTCAAAATGAGGTTTTCATTCCTCTAAAGTACATGTCTACAACTTTTTGCTAACTAGCTACACGCTAGCTGTGGGACAAATCCTGTACTGTTGAGTTATTCAGTATTTATGGAACTGTGTCCATGGGTTGGTGTAGATGTGGTCCCATCCTGAACAAGTTTTTGGTTCCTTGGAAAGGACAGTGATAGAAACAAATAGCAACAAGGTGGAAGGAGTTTTGACTGGGCAGTGGTGGCGCACACCTTGTATCCCAGCACTAGGGAGGCAGAGGCAGGCGGATCTCTGTGACTTCAAGACAAGCCTGGTTTACAAGAGCAAGTTCCAGGACAGCCTCCAAAGCCACAGAGAAACCCTGTGCCGAAAAAAATAAAAAGATGGAAGGAGCTTTTTGGCAGTCTATAGCAGAAGACTGTGTGTGTGCTCTGTCCTTTGGAGTGGGAGCATGGGGGCAAGGGGTCACAACGGCGTTCAGAGGAGGTAGCACAGAAACAGGGCTCCAGAGTGGCCATGACACCGAAGAGCAGAGGAAGAGAAGTGGGTGAGGGCTGAGGTGTCAGGGCGAGCACAAGGGCAGACAGGGACGCAAGGACGCTGGAGTCTGACTAAGGAAGGTCTTAACTCCAATTTGTTCTTTATGCAGGAGGGAGGGGACTTTGTTTCAAGAAAGATGGAAATAAGAGTGTGTTTTCAGTAACAGGTAGATGGAGCCTCAAGCCAGGCAGGAAGGTGGTAAGAAAAGGGAATGGCCTGGAGTCTGTGTTCCTCATGAATATCACCACCAGAGGGCAGTATGGGAATTGCTCCGGAATGGTCCCCTTGATCTGCAGACTTTGACAGGAGCCACTTGGCAGAGGGAACTGGACTGACTGGAGGAAGCAGGGCCCTTCTCCTCCCCTCCAAGGAGGAAGGTAGTCTGAGAAGTGTGGGCCCCTGGGGCATTCCACTCAGCTTCAAAGTTAAAAGTCTGTGGTTTGCTTCTTTGCTAGAGTCCCTCTGCTGCTGACTGGCTTATTCTTCTGGCTAAGCTTGCTTTCTGTGTGAGCCCAGAAATAATTTAAACTGTTAATGTTTTTGCCTTGTTGTATAATTCCTCCCTGCATCTCTGGGGTCTTGGCAGGAAATGTGATCACCCTGTGTGGCTACAAATCACATAGTTGTTTCTACAGGAAAACATTGCTCCAAACCCTCTTGCCAAAGAAGAGCTGAATTTCTTGGCCAGGCTAATGGGAGGGATGGAGATCAAGAAAATGAGTGGCCCTGAACCAGGATTCCGGTTGAATCTATTTACGACAGATGAAGAGGAGGAGTATGTTTTAAACCTGTTCTTTCTTTCTTTTTCTTTTTCTGGATAGGGTCTCCTATAGCCCAGATGACCTCAGTGAGAATGAATGGCCATAGACTCCTTTTCCTCCTGCCTTTGCCTCCCAAGGGCTGGGATCACAGGTGTGCACCACCACACTGGGTTTATACGGGATCAAATCCAGGGCCCTCATGCATGCTGGGTCTAGTGCTCCACTAACCAAGAGAGTTCTCCAGCCCTAAACCTATTCTTTAAAGATATGTAATACATTCTTGTCCCAATGGCTTAGATCAAGTGTAAATACATATGTAAGCCCCTATATGTGATAAGAACATAGACATAACAACTGCAGACCAACGCATAAACACAGATGTAAACAACCAGAAGTGAAACCACCAGCAACCGGTGCTGACCTGATTAAAGACTCCCTGGGGAGTAAACAGATGGAACCCCACAAGTCATTCCCCAAAAGTTCTAATGTTTAAGCAAGAGGATGACCAGGCTGGGCTGGTGAAGTGACTCAGCAGCTAAAGGCCCCAAGCTCGAGAGAGACCCAAGTTCAAGTCCTGGAACCCACTTGGTGGAAGGAGAGAACTGACACCCACAAGGTGTCCTCTGACTTCTATATGCTTGCCATGGCACATGTGCACACACTCATGAACATACACAAACATGGAGTATAAGACCCTGAGTCTGACCTATCCTCAGGAGGCTCCCAGGAGGCTCTGGTAGGAGAATGAAGAACCTAAGTCATTTTAACAGCTAGGTCACAAATACTGTGGTGAAGGCTGACGCGCTATGACCTGAAGGGACCGGCATGTGATCTGGGCCTCAGGACTTGCCGAGCAGAGAGAGGGGAAACGTTGGCAGAGACACAAACACACATGACTTTGTGGAATATAGGAATGTGAGGGGCAGGTGGGGTGGAAAGGCTAGGGGAAATGGCAGAAAATGATGCAGAGAAAACAGATCACCATGTTCTCAATGAGATGGTTCACCGTGCCAGGAAGACAAAATCCTAACCTTATACCCCTGGGCCTGTTTCTTCCTGCCTCATCCAGACATGCAGCACTGTCCAGGCCAGAGGAGTTGTCCTATGAAGTCATCAATATACAGGCTACACAGGTATGTATCCTCCTCGTCATCTAGTAAAAACATCTGCTCTCCCAAGGAGGGAGACGGCTCAGTGGTTAAGAGCTCTAGCTGCTCTTGCAGAGGACACTAATCCAACTCCCTGCATCCATATGGTGGTTCACAACCCTCTGTAGCTCCCATTCCAGGGATCTGATTCCCTCTTCTGGCCTTTGTGGGGAGTAAACACATGATGCACATGCATACAGGAGACAGAACACTCATTCACAGAAAATAAAAATAAGTCTTTTAAAAATTTTTGTGCCAGGTACTGGTGGCACACACCTTTATCCCAGCACTTGGGAGGCAGAGGCAAGCAGATCTCTGTGAGTTCAAGGCCAGCCTGGTCTACAGAGCAAGTGCCAGGACAGCCAAGGCTACATGGAGAAATCCCGTCTCAAGAAACAAAACAAACAAACAAAAAGATCTCTAATGAACCCTTTTCTGTTTGTCCCTAATCTGGCAAAGAACTGAGCCCTTTGATGGCATGAAATTTAAATACCTCCTCCCCCCAAATAGGAACCCTGCAGACATCTCCTCTTCCTCCCTCTACCCTCTCCCACAGGACCAGCAACGGAGTGAGGAGTTGGCCCGGATCATGGGGGAATTTGAGATCACAGAGCAGCCGGAGATCACAGAGCAGAGCACAAGCAAGGGAGATGACTTGCTGGCCATGATGGACAGGTTATAGAAGTACTGATAGGCACCCACTACCCCCTCCCTCAAGAGGCTGCCTAATGACCACTGTGGGGGACAGATGGCCTGGGATCCAGTGTGTTCCTGCAGGTTTCTTCAACTGAGATCTGCATCTCTTGTCCGTTTTTTATGTCAGAACAAACTGAAAATCTCTCAGAGAGCACCCTCTTCTGACGTCACACATACATGTGTATTTTCAGCAAAATATATTCTGGCTCTTAACCCAGACCTTCCCCCCATGATGTGTAATTCTGTGGCAACCATGCAAGCATCCTAGGCCAGAGGCTGAGCCCAAGTCATTAAGGGGGCCTAGCTATTAATTACCACTGAGCGCTTACCACTGCAGCTTTCCTGCAGGGACCTGCATCTCACAAGTCCCTATAAGGACAAAAGAACAACACCTGAAATCTCTGCCCTGAGGCAGGAGGATAGGAAGTTTTTGGACATTCTGGGCTACGTGACAAGATACATCTTTAGCTAGGATGTGGTGGTACATGCCTTGAATCCCAGCGCTCAGGAGGCAGAGTCAGGCAGATCTCTGAATTTAAGGCCAGCTTGGTCTACAAAGTGAGTTCTAGGTCAGCCAGGGCTACACAGCAACCCTGTCTTGGAAAACAAAACAAAATAAAACAGGTTGGGGGCTCAGTGGGTAAAAGCACTAGCCATTCAAACTTGGTGACCTGAACTTGATCCCTAAAATCTCTTTGTAAAAAGCCTGATGTGGGAGCCAGGTGGTGGTGGCCCATGCCTTTAATTCCAGCACTTAGGAGGCAGAGGAGGTGGATCATTGTGAGTTCAAAGCCAGCCTGGTCTACAGAGCAAGTTCCTTGACAGTCTCCAAAGCTACAGAGAAACTTGTCTGGAAAAACCAACCAAACAAACAAAAACTCTGATGTAGGGCTGGAGAAATGGTTCAGCAGTTAAGGGCACTTGACTGCTCTTCCAGAGGTCTGAGTTCAATCCCACCAACCACATGGTGGTTCACAACCATCTGTAATGAGATCTGGTGCCTTCTGTTGATCTCTGGCCTGCAGGCATACATGCAGACAGAACACTGTACGTAGTAAATAAATAAATATTAAAACAAACAAACAAAAAACCTGAGCCAGAGGCAGGTGGATCTCTGTGAGTTCAAGGCCAGCCTGGTCTACAGAGCGAGTTCCAGGACAGCCAGGACTGTTGCACAAAAAAACCCTGCTTTGAGAAATCAAATAACCTTCCCTCCTCATAAAAAGCCTAAGTATCTGGAGACTGTTCTGTTTGGCTTGTCTTGCAGGTAAGTTTGAAATCAGGGAAAAAGGCAATCACCTTTGTGTGCAGCTAGTTTTATCTAGAGTCACTGGAAAGACCAGAGCCTCAGTTGAAAAAAATGCCTCCATAAGATGGAGCTGTGATTGATGGGGGAGGGCCCAGCTAATTGTGGGTGGTCCCATCTCTGGGCTGGTGGTCCTGGGTTCTGTAAGAAAACAGGCTGAGCAAATCATGGGGAGCAAACCAGTAAGTAGCATCCTCCATGGCCTCTGCATCAGCTCCTGCCTCCAGGTTCCTGCCCTGACTTCCTTTTGATGATGAACTGTGATGTGAAAGAATAAGCCAAATAAACCTTTTCCTCCCCAACCTGCTTCAATCATGGTGTTTTGTCACAGCAATAGAAACCCTAACTAAGATGGGTGGTGGTGGCTGCAGGAGGCAGAGGCAGGCAGATCTCTGTGAATTCAAGGCCAGCCTAGTCTACAGAATGTGTTCCAGGACAGCCAGGACTGTTACACAGAGAAACCCTGTCTCGAAAAAGAAAAGAAACCCTAACCAAGACAGTCTGTCGTGGTACAGTTTAGAAGGTATCCAACCCCCCTACCTCCTGCAATTTTAGAGCTGTCACCTCTGAGAGTCAGTATAAGCCAGGCAGTGGCAAGGCAGGCTTTGCTAGGTCCAGGGAAAACACCAGGGGGCCAGCTGTTATCTGTCCCACGTGTGTACTCCTTCCCTGAGTGTGCCTGTATCACTAAAGACTTCAGCTTGATTTGCTGTGAATTCTGTCTCCTCCGCATTACCATCAAACCTCAGGCACAGCCTTAGGCTGGGTCCTCCCCCAGGGACTCAAGTGAGCTGCCTCAGGTCAGGGCTGCCTGAGATGGTTCAGAAAGGCCAGGAGTCCTGCCCCACATGCTCCCCCCTGGGACCAGTAACCCACAAGTTCGGGGCCAGCTGACTGTTCGTGCCTCTGAATGACAGAGGGTGACAGAAAAACCCAACTGAGCAGGCCACTGTGTGAAATGGGACCAACTTGAAGAGCCACTGAGTCCATACCCATGGGAAGTGTGGGGACATAGTTTTGGAATGCAAGATCAGGGAACCTGCCCTTTGGCTGACCCAAGACACATACAAGGCACAGAGTTTTGATCCTGAAAGGTAAGCCACCAGATACATCTATTTCCCACCCAGTGAAGACCCCCTTCCCTCCAGATGCCCAACCTTTTGACATTGCAACAAAGTTCAACAACTGTACAACTGAGTTTTGAAAAAAAAAAAAAAAACATGTTTTTGTTTTGAAGCAATTAATTAAGAAAGGAAAGGGGGATGTTGGAGAGATGACTTCAACTCTTACTATCTAAAAATGGTTAGATAACTTTTGTGGACAACAACAAATGACTTTCCTTTTGAAACTGAGTAGTTACATAGTATTTCTCTTCTCTTTTAGTCCAGTTTTCTTTGTGTAACTATTAGAGTCTCGTCTGTTTTACAGCTTTGCTTCATTTACCTCTAGGGCCTCTTAATTCTGTAACAATAGGAGGGGAGCCAGGAGGTAGGGCACACGTTTAATCCCAGCACTCAGGAGGTTGAGGCAGGCTGATCTGTGCGAGTTTGAGACCAGCCTGGCAGCTTGGTCTACAGAGTTCCAGGACAGGACTGCTTCACAGAGAAACCCTCTCTCAAAAACCCAACCCAACCAAACTAAACCAAACCAAACCAAACCAACTGAAGAAAAAAAGTGAGGGGAACAGTTTTATTTCTTATACATTTAATGTACATAGGTGTTTTGCCTACTTGTCTGTGTAACCCGTGTGCACCTGATGCCTGTGAAACATGTGTGCACCTGATGCCTGTGAAACCCGTGTGCACCTGATGCCTGTGAAACACATGTGCACCTGATGCCTGTGAAAGGCCAGAAGAAAGCCCTGGTACTGGAGTTACAGACAGCAACATGTGGGTTCTAAGAATTGATCCCAGGTACTCTGGAAGCAGCCGGTGCTCTTAACTACTGAGTCCTCTCTTCAGCCCATGCAGTCCAAATTGAGAAGAGGTAATAGCCACAGAAGAGCTAGCAGGGCTGTAGTGAGATAGTCCTTCTGTGGCACTGACCACGCCCATTGGGGGTGGAGCCATGGGCGGAGTGACCTGTGAAAGGAGGTCTGAGGGGCCCAGGAAAGGCGCTCTCTTTCTGGCATGACTCGGATAGGAGAAGATCAGGTTAAATTTCCTGGTGTTCATCTGTCTAGGTTGTAAGTTATTTCTCCCTAAATAAACATCTATTCGGCCTATTTGTTTATCCTGATCCTTATTTACCGCAATACAGGGCAGACCGGAGGGACTCAGAGCGCAGGGCTGTTGGGGAACGTTCTAACCCTTTGGGTCTCATCTGGAGATCTAGCACATTCATCTGGGCCACTGAAGTAGGGCTGCCTCTCTTATAGTCAGAGCACTGATACTTCATGTGGGTAAGTGGCCCAAGACACACATGGTGAGTTGGGGGCAGAGCACAGTGCCCCAATTCCAACCATACTGGACGCTGTTATAAGACCCTTGAACCTCTTTGGCATGTTTGTTGTGAATGCATGATGTGTGCATCGCATGACACAGTGAGTGCACATGTAGAAGGCAGAGGGCAACTTTGTGGAGTGAGTTCTCTTTTTCCACTTTTTCAAGTCCGTGTTTATCTGTGTAGCTTTGGAGCCTGTCTTGGAACTCACTCTGTAGAATAGGCTGGCCTCGAACTCACAGAGATCCCCCTGCCTCTTCCTCCCGAGTGCTGGGATTAAAGGTGTGCACCACCACTGCCTGGCTGGAGTAGTTGTCTTTTCTGGCTCAGCAGCCAACACCCACTCTTGTGGTTTTGATTTTGTTTTTTCTGTTTTTTAAAACCTAATTTACTTCGTGACACAACACAGCTCCTGATGCTGTGAAGAGGTATTGAAAGATGGAGGAGGGAGGTGGGTTTTTTGTTGTTTGTTTTGTTTATAATTGATTTTTGGGGAAGTTGCATACTGAAGGAGTGAGGGGCAGACATGGAGCGCCTGGGAGGTGAGTGGGATTGAGGTGCATGATGTGAAATTCCCAAGAATAGAGAATTATGTTTAAAATTTTTTAAAAAACTAATTTTTTGGGTTTTTTAAAAAAATTCTGTTTTGCCGGGCAGTGGTGGTCCATGCCATTAATCCCAGCATTCAGGAGTCAGAGACAGGAGGATCTTTGTAAGTTTGAGGCCAGCCTGGACTACAGAGTGAGTACCAGGACAGGCTCCAAAACAATACAGAGAGACCCTGTCTCGAAAAAACAAACAAAAATTTGTTTAGTTTTTGAGACATGATTTCTCTGTGTAGTCCATGCTGTCCTGGAACCCACCCTATAGACCAGATTGGCCTCAAACTCAGAGATCTACCTACAGCCTCTAGAGTGCTAGGATTAAGGGCTTTTGTTACCATTGCCCAGCAAATTTAATTTTTGTGCGAATGTGTGTGTGCATGTATACTTCATGTATGCTGGTACCCAATAGGCCAGAAAAGGGCACCGGCTGCCCTGGAGTTTGAGTCGTAGGCAGCTGTGAGCCACCTGATGTGGGTGCTAGGATCTGAATTCTGGTCCTCTAAAAGAGCAGTAAGTAAATCTTTTGCTGGCCTTGATTGCACACTTCTTTAATTCTAACACCCCCACTCCAGACAAGGTTTCTCTGTGTAGCCCTGTCTGTCCTGGAATTCATTCTGTGGACCAGGCTGGCCTCAAACTCAAAGGCCCACCTGCCTCTGCCTCCCAAGTGCTGGGACTAAAGGTGTGTGCCACCATTGCCAAGCTTCACTCTGTTGTTTTTGTTGTTACTGTATTTTATGTGTATGGGTATTTTGCCTCCATATGTGTCTGTGTAGCACATGCAGGCTGGGCCCACTGATGCAGGCATTGGATCCCCTGGAACTGGAGATAGTTGTGTGGTGGCATGTGGGTGCTGGGAATTGAACCTGGAACCCTC